AAAAATATAAATTTTAGTTTCTTTTTGTAATATCTATTGAATAAAAAATACTTACAAACCAGAATTTTGTCCTTTTTGATGATCAACATAAATATAAACATCAGGTAAAAATTTTAATAATAATCCTTTAGCTGTTTCAATTAAACGATTTGCTAAACCTGGTGATACACGCATAGCATATCTAAAATATATTAAGATATAGAAGAGTAATGCTAAAATAGATTCATCTTACGCAACACCACGAATTCGTTTAATTTTTCCAACATCAGTCCATTGACATGGTCTTAATTTCATTTTTGTTGGACAACGAAATAGAATTTCACCACCACCATTTGGTTTAGCACCTCGTTTAATTATCTATAATATTATATTGAACAATATGTTTTTCTCGAATTGATTATATTTACTTTAAGTTCTAGACCATCATCAGATCCAAGAAATCGTTTCATAATTGGTATTGCTGAATATTTAATAAGATCAACCTTAATAAATATGATTAAATGAAACAAAAAGAAGAAGAAGAAAACTTACTGAAGGATCATCACGATCATTAGTTACACCTTTTAATCGAAGTTCAAGAGCTGTTTTCATAAATGGTGCCATATAGAGAACAAGTTCAAGAAAATAACCAATACCACGTTTTAATGAACATTCATGTTCAATGATTCCACCAGTTAACGTACCCGGCACATAATAAAGTGAAGTACCTATTGTACAACAAAAGAAAATGATATTTCAAATTTAAAAGAAGAATACTTAATTATTTACCAGTAGCATTAATTTCTACTTTACTTCCATTGGCAAGTTTTTCTAATAAATGTAGTAGATTTATTTCAAAATCTATTTGAAAATAAGAATATTTTGTAGAATGATTTAATAAGAATTTTATTACCACGTAGTCCAGGTTCATTTTCTTGTGATCGAATATTTTTTATTTTAATTGGTGTATAACTTAGAGTCGATAAAGCAAGACGTTGACGAAAATAAGCACAACCATCAAATTGAAGAGTCATATTAATTGAAAATATCAGAGATTTATTGCAAAGAAAATATCATCTCATCGATATGTTCGATTTATATTTCATGGATTTTCAAAATAGTCCATTCAGATACGTTGATGATTGACGACATCTACTGACAGAGTAATCATTAACTTTTAAAAGTGATATGCATATTAGAAATATGATAAATATGATTTCTTGAGTCTTCTATCTGCGAAAAAAGAATCAACTGAAAGTTGAATGTTTTATGTGATACTGGACTAAAATTTAAACTTCATTTTTCTGATGTACACTATTTTGTTACCTCGTCTATATCACTTGCAGAATAATATTTGTTGTCTTGATAGCTTTAGACTTTGATTATAGCGCTGAACAATTACTGAATGTTGTGGAAGAGAACACTATATTTCACACCTACACCCTTTCCCATTACAGACCTGAGTAATCATAATTAGAGACGCTAAACGATATTAATAACAAGGCTTAAGAGGTTCTAGAACATTCGAAAATCTTCGTTGAAATTTTTATAGCTGAAATACTTTGTTCATTATTCTAAATAACGCAGTTTATGATTTTTGGACAGGTAAACGATTATAATTGAGATACCATAAGTGATGTTTTAATTTGACATAATTGTAATATGACCATCAATAAAGCATGACCTGATTAAGTTCTAACTTTCGGAATTAATCGACATCAGTCCTTCTAGATTGATAGAAATAACATAATAGTTCGTTGAAATTTATTGTAAATATAACTAATATTGCACGACAGGTTTATTTATCCGTTAAATCAATAGTTTGACTAATAATAATTATTTTTGAAAATTAAATTAAAAAAAGAGAAAACAAAATTCTGTTTCTTACATCTTAGGGCCACTTGACCAAGGGCCAGCGAATAATTTTGAACATTTCACATGCCTTTAGTTTTTAACGTCCGTCGCTTGTGTTTTCACATGTATCTTTGCTTCATCCATGCTCACGCTTATACTAACTTAAACATAAGAATTTGTCTATACAATGTCAATTCATTTTTTGTCTCTATAAAATTTTATTTTCTTCTGTATATTTTGCTTCATAATAAAAGATTATTCGGCTTTAATTTAGATTAATTTCTAGTTATCAATAAGACTGCTCTGTCCTCAACAAAAGTCTTAATCTTCATTTGTTGTGTTTATACTCTAGACAATCTTTCTGACACTTTAATCAAAATGTAATATCCTCGATCAATTGATAGATAATTGCATTGAATGTGAAATATTTCTTTTTAAATTCCACAAATTTATAAATTATTTGCATGAAATATTTTCTAAGGAATGATTTACATCTAATATTTTGCTTCGATATGATCCAACTGAAATGAGCAATTATTTCATTATAGATATATGTGATTGCTGTATCGATATTTCCAAGTGTTAAAAGCTAATTGAGATCTGAGAAAAGTCGGATTATCATGTAAAACAATCTTTGTTTTGAACAAAAAAGCATTAGGCCTTGTGAGATACCTTCGTCCATTGAGAATACAACAAGGAAATTGCAGTTGATTTTCTATGTGTCTGAAACACGTTTCAGAAGTAAAACTATATTAGATAAGTATTCCAATGATTAATAAACCTTTTGAATTTGACTGAGGTGATTTTGTGTCCAGAGATTCGAGGCAACGAAGAGGCCTAAGAGAAAAAGAAGGTTGACTGTATCAAATTACAGAAACTTAACTATTCTGTGGTGAAACCTGTTTTTTGATTCATTTACAGCATTAATGTTGAACAGAAAATAGTCTCTTTTGTTAAACTTCTTTTTCTATCGAATCGCATATGTCAAACAATAATTTAAATAAGGCAATTCTGTATAGCGTTAAAAATGGATTATCCTATGACAATAATTACCAAAATTCAAAATGATTATTCAAAATTTTGAGTTTTATAGATAATAAATGAAGAGCTTAGTTATATCTGATGTTGATATAGAAATATTGATGCGACTTATCCTTAATGAATAGCAGCACTCGTAATCAAAATTGTCAAAGTAATTGATTGATTTTTTTAGATCTTATGTATCGTTGATAAAATTTTTGATGATGAACACATAGAATAAAAGTTTTTATAGCGTAATAGAGAGGAAAATGAGTTTCATAAATGATATATAAAATATATTTTTTTATGTGATTCTTACAGTATAAATTATGCAGAAATACAAGTATTTACTTCGCTTCCTGCAAAACCATATTGTTGAATCATTTCAATTATATGCTAATCTGGCAATAAAAATGATGAATCGAATTACTACCTTTTGCATGCATAATTCTGTTTTTTATCGATTAACACTTTCTTCTCAATATATATATTGCATTCAAAAGTATATTTACATTATTTGCATGAATAGCTAATAGCTATGAGTCATATTTTCATTCGAATATATATAAATGTGAATGCATTGAATCAATCAGGCATTATATATATATCGAATTAATAAAACCTGTTATTACATTTGATTCTTTTTCCATAATAAGAGCAAATAGAAGATGGCTAGTATTACTTTTCGTGCATTAGTCATTCTCATACTGATCTTTTCCGTTCAAATATGTAAGTATGTTTGTAATATTGAATGATAGTCGATTTATGAATATCTCATTTAGACGAAGTTCAAAGCAAATGGTGTGGTTGTCCGATTCGACCCTCAAAATGCCATGAAGGCTGTCAGACGCAATTTGGCAATGACACAGTATCCAGTTGCAAAGGTTTCTTCAAATTAAATTGCAGATGCCAAACGACAAACAGTACAATGTCAATTGCTCCCTGGAAATGCTAAGAACTTTTTTTATATCTAAACACAAAGATATATCAATACATGCATCTTTTTGTGAAATATCGATGTCAATAAAATATTTGGTCCTGATTTTCTCATAGTTTTGTCTATCGATAGAGTTATACCAATCAAATCAAATGCATGATTTGATTCACGGTATCTTAAGTTATATAATAGGACGAAATATCAATTCATTGAAGCAGCATCTTAATTTTTGATGATTGTATTATCAACTCCAAAATGTTTGCATATATTCATGTTATTATTATAGTTTATAGCAGAGAAAATTCCTAGTGGGGACGCATACTTTGATTCTAAAATATTGTGTTGGCATGTGTGCAGGTGATCAGAGAATGAGAGTATGAATTTGTCGATAAAGAGAATATCTACAACATTCACTTCATGTTTTGAAGTATGATCCTACTGGAAAACAAGAATTCGCTTTAAACTCTGTTGCAAAAGCAAAATTTGAAGGACAATTTTGAATTGGCTATAGAGATGTATCTCTATGATGTACTATAATTCGGATTCAAAGCTAGAATTCTTATTAAATTCTTGAGAATAACTTTAATCTCCTGTGTAAGAACTCTTATAGTATCAAGACATATTAGTACAATGAAAATCATCAATGTTACAGAATTCTATCACTGTTGTTTTGTGCTGATATAATCTCTATGTGATTGATTCTATAAAAGTGAATGCCGAAACCGATAAACCTGCTGATGTGCGTCTGCTTACGAAGACAAGAAAACGGAAATTGAAGAATGTGATACAAATTTTCTCGATCAAATTCATTGATTGCACATGTCGTGTTGTCGAATGCGCCAGCGAAATGTAAGGTTCTCATTGGAAGAAGAACTAGAAAGCATGTTATATTGAAGACCAAATGCAACATTGTCCTAGCTTTCTGTTGATAATTGAGTAGTTTTTTGTTTAATGTAATCTACAAAGAATATTTATTTGAATAGCAGTCGATTGAGGACACGAGTGAGGAGAAAAAAATGTAAATCAAACAAGCGAATGTAAGAAAATGCAAACACATCCATAAAGAGAAAGTGAACATTTGCAATTGTAATAAGTATCACTTCAAAAAGTTTATTTATTTATTTAAACTTTTACAAATTTTAAAAGGAATAATAGAACTATTTTTTTTACGATGTCTTGTTTTTTTCGTAAGGTATCGTCAATTAAAATACTACTTTTGTTTTCGATATCGTTCGATTTCTGTGATGAGTTTCTCATAAGCCGTGTCGAAGTTATATTTTGTAAAATCAACATACATTCTGAGCCCAGCCAACATTCCGAGCCAACCAGTGGGCTTATAACCTTTTTGAAATATTAAGGGTATGAGACAACGTTGAGTTTTGAATGCATATTCGGCTTCAAGTTGACAGCTGGAACTCGATTTATACTTCTCGGACATGCAAATAAGAACGAATTTCGAGTTTTCAATGCCTTCTGCCATTCGCGTCACAGTCTCACCATACATATTTTCGAGGTCGATCCAAACTCGGTAGCCATCTTGAACTAGACGCTCATACAACTTATGACATAAATCTTTATCATGATGACAATAACTAATCATTACATCGTATGAGCTAGAAGAAGGAAGCGAATTCGACGTTGTCTGCGATGTATTTTCCATAGGATATGGATTCCAAAAATTTCCATCCGGTTTGACACAGCCCTTTAAAATTGTTTCAATTACCGTGTGATCACTTTGGAAAGAAGAATAGTAGAAAATACGTTCATCTTCGTAATGAAATGTTCCATCACTAAAAACAGGTGTATTGACAGCATGAGCATACGCTTCTGTAACATTTTTATAATTTCGAGCTTGATCATCGTGAATAAGACGAATCGAGGTGCGAAATAATTTGCCATTCGTGAAGAGAAAACAAGCATAGCTTGATGATGAGACGTAAGTGTTCGGAGGTACGAACTTTGTTGGATCAGGAAAATCATGAAGAGGAACGCAAAAGTATCTCACTTCATTTTCTTTATATTCAATTGCAACTGGAAGTATATTCCATTCTACCGTTCCAAAGGATACAGGTAAATTCTTATTTACATCAGAGGGCGAATCACCAAAACGATATTCATTGTATGCAGGACCCCAGACAGTTGTTTCTTGAGACATAATCCCGTTGCGTTATTCAATTTCTTTTGTCGTATGTGCTTGTGGTAATAAAGGCTGCGCTTGTTTGTTGTATTTTTTACCAACTGTTGTTTGTAATGATATGTTTTTGTCACCGTCTTACAGCCTTATATTGCTTTCCATAAAATGAGAAGAAAGAAGAAAAAAAAAACTGCTTTTTTGCTAAGATCGATTTTCTTGTATTTCTTGAGTGGAGACAATATCAAAACGGTTACTAAGAAAAAGATTTGCTGGCGTTTACTACAAAACAAATATAAAGAGAGAAGAATGAATTCCGAGGTAACTTATTTCTCCATCGTTCTATAATTTATTGGTATTGTGCGCTGCAGACCGTATGTGCTCAACCAGCGCAAAACGTTGGCAACGTCAAGAAAAGACTGAAAGAAATGAAGAAAAATAAAACACGTTAGATACAACCAAGAGACCATTGCTGATACATTTAAAAAATGTTTGGCAAGCTTTTACAACAATTCAATCCTTCGATCAATGCACGCTAAAATGCGTTTTTCAACTCGGCAGAGAGAATTTCATCAGAAAGCAGCTCGCTTCGTGACCTATCACTTATTTTTTCTTCAAGATTTCCTCTTCCTCTTGTATCTGTTCAAATAGCTTGTTATCATTCCCTCTTTTCTTGGAAAAGCAAGAGCTCGTCAACTCAAACATGATTTTCTGTTTTTTACTATTGATCATTTTTGTTGTTGTATGGTCTTCTCTGTTAAAAACTGAGAAATTACTTTATAAGGATACTGAGCAGGAAAGTTGAATAGATGCTTCTGTAGTGTGCCGTAGGAAGGTTGAAAGGAAAAAATACTTAAAGAAATAAATGTCAAAACCTAAAAAAGCTTTCAAATCAATTCCAAAAAAATTAATCCATTATAAAATCTTTAGCAAAATCACAATAAATTGCACAAAGATTTATTCTTAACTTTATGTATTCAGTTAAGACGTGTCAGATGGTGGGTTTGCAGCATTCTTGTCTGACAGTGGATTTTTGTCACTATTCATCTTGACTCTTTTTATAGCATCCATGATCCAAGTGAGAGATGTATTAACCTATACAATAGATAATATAGAAGTGATCGCGAAAAACATTTCATCTTTACGAACTTGTTTCGATTGAAGATCTATACTGCTACGAAGAATCTCAACTATGGCATTTTTCTGAAATGAAAGAGATTAATGGCAATGTATAGGAAACAAAAGAATTCAGTGTGATTTCTCTCGGTTGTTTTGGTTCAAGCATACGAGTATCTTTCCAAGCAAAAGAATCTTTCTACGAGTAAGACTTGAAAATTTTTGAAAACTATAAATTAAAACTATGTTTATTTTTGAATTACTTTGTCAGATCGAAGTTTGAAACTTTCAATCTACTGACGCATATTTTTCTTTTTCAGTGAATTCCACTTAAGCTGTGTAATTGCCTGGTTTAGTTGAATTTGCATTTCAATCATAGCCGATCGTATCGATTTGATTTCTTCATTCAAAACAGGAGTTATTTCTTGCTGTCTCTCAGTTCCAATTGATTTCATATTTTCATTTATTGTCTGTGCAGATTCTTTACTGAAGTAAGTAATTATAAACAAAGGAAGCATTCTATACTGTACTTCTTTTTTATCGAGAAACCGTACCTTAGACTAGCTTTTTTGCTAAAAGAATTTATCTCATCACTAGATTTATTCTCTTTTTCAATACTTGATCGTGCATAACTGGACGTAGCCACATTTTCAAACATGTCCCAGTATTCATCGAGCATACTACCCTTTTTGGCAATCATTTCTACAAAAGACAAGTCTTACCTGTAAACCGAAAATATCCTATTGTTAACTCACTCAAAACAGGTGAGTCATTTCCAGAGTCATCATCCTCTTGGTGATAATTTTTAGGCTGCACGTGATTTTGCTGACAGCATTTTTCTTTACATTGTCGCCATGTGAAGCGACCTAGCAAAAAGATATGCGTGAAAAACATCAATGGTGGATAGGCCAAGACTGGTCGATCAAAGTATTCCAGAACAAATGAGTAGCGTTGGCAGTGCCAATAAAATTCAGTATTAGGTTGAACCTTACCAATTGTGTCACTAGACAAATCGTATAAAAATCTTTTCAACATTTCATTAACTCGTACGTAAAAACAGCCATCAACAAGTTCAGAAGAAGAATATTGATAAATAACATATGAAAAGCGAGAAGAACATGAGTAGCTGTCGCTTCAGCTACAGCTGTACTGTTATCACTCGCAATCATACCTATGTTTGAAAAATCTCTTTTACTATGAGAAATCGAGTAGCCACTTATTATCAAGCTGAGCTGTGTCCGAAATTTGTCCATACATGAACCAATAGGGTGGATAGAAAATTTCTCCAAAGATACCTTTTCCATCAAAAGAGACTTCGTTATACTTGAAGAGTGATCGAGATACAACTCCATAGGCAGCAATAGCTACGAATATGATGTATATGAACGTGGAGAGATCTCGTAACTAAAAAACAAATGATTCATGATGTATTTCATCTTTTAGAATAAATCCTAACCATATTTTTTAGCATGAAAAGCTTAGGACCGGATGATTTTAATGCAACGACGAATTTTAACGATTGTAAATACCACATTTCAAGATCAAGTGCAAATATGATCCTTTATGAACAACGATTAGAACAACATTCGTGAACAACAATTAACAAACCTAGCTACAGTAAAAATATGTTCGTTATTTCCAGAACCATAACGAAATCCGATGCCTATATAGAATAACCAGTAGGGCAAAATATTGAATAGACCCGTCAAAGTAGTAAGAATGTTGAAACCCGTATAACTTTGCCGTTCGGTCATTTTGCATACATAGTTATGTCTCAACTGGAAAAGATACACAAAACAGATTGAAAGAAATTATAATTGAATTTCTACCTGACGAAAATCTTCATAAAGTATCGTTGAAACAGTGATAATGGTGTAAATTTCTGTGCAATGTGGGGAGCTAACTGTTGGATTGTCAAAATGATGGAGCATCATATAGCTGAATACCAGTAAAAATCAAATGTAGAACAACTAGAATGCATAGGTAATATTGTATCATTAAAAGAAAGAAAACAAATGTAAATGTGAATGTGAATGAAAAGCTTACAAAGTGATAGCACATTTTTACCATTGGACTCAGATGAAAATATATCAATCGATCCGTCCAACTTGACCTTGTAAAACGTTTCTTTGGTAGTTCTTTCTCTAAGTAGTAATTGATGCCTTTTCTCGATAGCCTGAAAATTTATGATAAAAAATTCATCATTATTAATCGATTTAACTACATAATTATTTGAATTCAGTATTCACTTCCTAAAATGAAGAACTTAAAGATCAATAATGGTGTTCGGAATTACATACAAACCGACATGATTCGATCTTCTTTTTGTTGATATTCAATGCAAAATGGAGCAGGTAAACCTGCTAGAAGGATTGATAGAAATAAAAAAGGTTTTGTCACTGCATGACTGTTCAATATCGCCAACTTGTCGTACCAAACATGGTTGAGAGCTTCATTAAAACATGCTGTTTCTAGCAAGTGCATGTTTTCACTTGAGATTGCAACCTATGTCATATTGATAACATGTTTTTGTGAAATAGCAAAGAAAATCTAGTCATAGTAATCGCAGCCCATTCGTCGTAAAAAAAATTAATCGCGCACACAATTTGTTGCAAGGACAAATTGTCACATGGACGCTCACTTATATGCTGTTTTTTCCCTCTTGATACTGTGAAGCTAAAGAATATGAGTGAATATGGACACTATTTTAAGCCTTATTTTCAAATATGTATGTGACTTTTTAAGATTATATACATTACAAAAATTGAAATATTAAAAAAGTGCTGGAAAAGAAAAGCGAAGTGACGTGATTTAGACATAAAAGAAGCGATAAGTGAAGTAAATGATCCTATAGATGGATAATAATAACATTTACTCCACTGAAAAAAAAAGATTTTCAATATAATAGGAAAACTTTGCGTGAACCAAAAACTCCATCATATAAATTACGAAACAATCACGAAAGAGAATTAAAGAAGGAAAAGAAAGCTTGAAGAAATAACTCATCAATATAGAAGACCAACAGAATAGTGAGAAAACATCATTAATCTAGGAATATTAGTTCATAAAGCAAGTGAAAGAAATGAGGGCGTGGGGATGGATATGGCGTGTGGGTATGGATGTTGCGAGTATGAATATGCATGCCAAGCATCCGCATTCGCACCCACATGCACCCGATAGCAATAGTTGTAAATTATTGAATAACAATATGATTCGAATATTGATACCATTGAAGATACGGCAACGATAATTACTGGACTAATGAATATATACAAGTAAATATGGATGATAATGGCTCGAAAACGGTGATCGATGTCATATTGATTACTCTCAATCATTCGAACAACGTAAATACTCCAGTCAACAATTGTACGAACACAAATGAACTTGATGTCAATGTTAAAGACAATTGAAGTGACTAATAAAGAGAAATATGCATTCGAAGGGCTACTAGACTCTTTTGTTGCTTTGGTATGAACTTATTAAACAAAGCAATTAGCTTAAGCTACTGGTAACCATTAATCCATTTTTAAGTCTCCCATGATTTTATTCTATTGTTTTCTACTAAAGTAAAATTATTCATTCTGTACACTATATTTCGAATGTATTCAGATAACGTTTCATTATACTTTTCTCGCATTGATTTTCATGGACGTACCAAACTTTATACATACAGTTGTATGTCTTTAAAATCTATATAATGCTATTCGGTTCTATTCATTGCAAATAATCAATTTCATAATCAGTTTCAAGAATGGGTATTGACATGAGCATCTGTGAAGAGAACATTCATATCTCATTTCAACGTACTTTACCTATAATCATCGATTGAAGACTCCATTAAACATTGTAAGCAAATAGTGACGTCGTATGCGATTGTAGTAAAATTATTGAGTGAGAACGCTGCTGGCTCTCTTTATTCCTATGTAGTGAGAGTAAATAATGCAAAAGCAAAAAACGAAAGGGTGTGGAGTGTAGGTGTGAATATTTTTCTAGCTCGTACTCACCCACACCCACACCCACATGCACACACCCATACCTTTTAGTGAAGATAACACAACATTTACTTTATCTTTCAATAAATTGATAACGAACGAACAGTAATGAATCAACGATTTAAATAATGTTATTAAAACATTAAAAAACACAATATTGTAGTTCAACAGAACGACTGATGTACGTCTGTAAAATGAAGTAATTATACACAAATATTTAATTGTTTCATAATTATGAACTAAAACCTTAACAACATATGTCTGGATTGATAAAACATTTGGAATAATAATCACAATGAAAAAACATCATTAAAAGTATCATATCATGCGGAAGACTGACCAAAAAGAATTTGTGATGACAGTTTCTGAGATTAATCCGAATCAATGATTTAGATATCTACATGAAACTAACTGTCAGCTTTTGGAAATCCATTTATACTAGGAGTCAACAACAAATTTGTTTTCTGTCAGACATAGGGTGTGAATAAAAACTAACTAAATAGTAAACCGTTATGTATTTATTTTTATAGCAGTACGATGATGATCTCCTATGATAATGAAATAAAAAACTCATTATGGTTTTCTTTTGTTTAGTTTAATAATTTGCATACATACATACTCTCTTTGAATCTTATTTTCTTGTTTCTGCTTTGTGATCCTAAGACAAATAGTCACGCTTTTGCGATGAACAATATAAGGAATCAATACACTTCGATGCATTTTATTTGTAAGGTTTTACTATTGTGATCTTGGTACATGTTAGACATATTCTATTTTATAACTCATGTACAACATCATGAATTTTTTTTATGCTAGTCTAGATGTTACTGATGAACATTATACGAAAATTTTTCTTGGAAGAAAGCTAAAAGATAAAGAGGAATTTATTAAGTTTTGAAAAAAAAACTCATAGACGAAGAAACATTTCAAGAATCTATCTCTGTAATTCGTGATTGATTTGTTGTTCATGGAAGGAAAGATAAGATAAAAGTTAATGTTCTATTCCAAGACTTCGAAGAAATATTTAGATGAACAAAATGATCTTCACCTTCAACAATCACTCTGGTACAGTTATCACCAGCACTTTTGGCTTGTTCAGCAAAAGTTATTGTCTGACTAATAGGTACAGTGATATCTACTGATCCAGTTATAGCTTGTATTGGCACTTCTAATGGTAGATATTGGCTTGGATATGTTGCTCTAAATATATAAAATCAGTGTTAGATTCATAAAAATTATTTACTTTTTCTGTGATTTTATAGAAAACTATGTAAATCAAATCGTAACTATTATAACAAGTCTTATTATCTTTGAAATATTTTTAGGAAATATTCGTATGAAAAATCTTATTTTTTTATTTCAGAACATATTAAGCTCATAGAAATTTCATTTAATCAGTTCTTTTTTTGAAAATTCTTGCAAAGAGTAGATTCAGTTTTAACAGAATTTTCAAAAAAAGAACTGATTAAATGAAATTTCTATGAGCTTAATATGTTCTGAAATAAAAAAATAAGATTTTTCATACGAATATTTCCTAAAAATATTTCAAAGATAATAAGACTTGTTATNCCCCACACCCACACCCACACCCACACCCACATCCACACCCACATCCACACCCACACCCACACCCACACCCACACCCACACCCACACCTACACCCACACCCACACCCACACCCTATGTAGTAAAAGACCCACTTCTTTTTAGAGCTCGTCAAGGAGCGTGTCGACGTAATACTCGAATTATTCACCAGCACATAGCTGCAAAATAGTTAACAAATATACAGAATGATAGAAAACTTCAGCTCTATGAGAATCTGTGGCTGCTTTTTAAAAACAAAATTTTCCCATAAGAATAATACATTTAAAAAGAGAACTCCAGGCGCAAAGAAAAACGCACATTTTTTATACTTGCCAATTGACGATGGCTTCACTGTACTCAAATTTTCTTTTCGATAAATGAACGTAAGAAAATAAGTAAATATACAGGGGATAGAGAATTTCAAGCTCTATCAGAATATCCAATTACTTTTTTCAAAAGATAATTTTATAGTGATGAAATTTTTAAAAAACTAATTTTGGTGACAGAAACAAAATCAAGCCTGCGGAAATCTGAACATGAGGGTGCCTTCATTACACTCAATTTTTTTTGATAATACATATATTCAAACGAAAAGGCAAAATATAGAAGCTGATAGAAAACTCCACGTGCTTTCAGAATATATCATTATTTTTTAAAAAATACGCTGCTATGATAACGACATCCCCAAAATACCGGCTACAGCTTATTTTTTCCAGACGTATAGATACAAAAGATCATTTCATTCTTTTTTTGTCTTTACTCAGATAATTTCCTGATATTCCTTTCGTTTTTTAAGGCCCCCCCCCCCCCCTTAGAAAAGCCATCTTTTGGTAAAGTAATGGAAGTAGAGTTTTCATCATAGCAAGATGCAGCGAAGTTTTCTCTTTCAGAATATATATAAATTTTTAAAAAAAGGTCAAATTTTTACAGACTTTCATAGGAGATTTCCACCTCACTACCTGGTTTTGGAGAGATTTTCGCGGTTTTTGTTATTTTTGGGAAGGCTACTTTTTTTACTTTTATCAGCATGAAATCAACATTCTTATATCATATAGTACGACCTGTAGTGCTAGCTTACGCCATCTATTGCCTGCTTTCAAAAATTCCACATAAATATTATATCATTATCCCATTATTTTCTGCATTTGAATGGAAAATCCATTTCTAAAACTTCTTTAGAGGTTTTCTCAAAACATGGTTTCTAGACAGGAAAATTGAAATAACTCCCTCTTGGATCGCCATATATGCAATATTTTATTTTTGTTTTAAAGGTCTCAATGAGGCTAAACTTTTATCCGACCAGTTTTTTTAAGGTTGATTCCTGCGATGAGAAAAGTGGAATTTACTGTCGTCCGATCACCATTTTTTATACTAATTTTTAGACCCTTCCATTAAAATGGTCATAAAAAATCAATAAGATTAAATTCAAAAATTCTGTTCAGATAAAAGTTGCGTACTGACATTAGCTTTAATTTGAGGCCAGCCCGAGCTCGATACCTCTTGTTATGACGAAGTTACATCGATTCTCCTGAAGGTCAAAAATGACCTATGATTCAGCTGAAACTCCGGTCCAGTAAGGCCAATCGGGCAGAAATTTTTACCAGGAGCATATCTCTCCAGGATCACTCATTCCTGAAATTTTCAGCTCAAAAGATCCATTCTAAGTGGGAATTCATTTCTGAGGGGGAGGGGGAGGGGGAGCCCTTAATGCACAGATTTTGCACGACTCCGAAGTGTCTATTTAGCATTTGAACCTTATATTGCTTGTTCATTTCGCCTATGAAGAATATATAGCATTCTTTTTTTCTTGTTATCGGTGTATTGTGTGCGGTGATTTTAATTTCTTTCGTCTTTGTTCGTTTGTTTAATGTTCTGATATTTATTTGCTCTTTTTTTAATTTATTTTGATGACATTATAATTAATTAAACTGGATGTTTACGGTCACTTTCCCATTTAATAAAAATCTCGAGAAAAGTGCCTATACTCTTTCATATAAACCGTTCCGTTTTTTACATCACTTATCGGAGTGTCCATCTAGTCATAGAACGAGTTGTTAGAAGCATTTTTTTTTTCGAAACGACGTTGTATCTTGTTTTTTCAGTTCTTTTTTTCTTATCGAATTCAGTGTTTTTTATCTAAGATATTGTGTAATGTCTATAAAACCATTTGTACTTTTATCTAGTTAGAAATACATACGAAATAAAAAATATTTTTGTTAGTGAATTGTACTCGCCAAAAGAAAAACTGGAGCCAATACTTTTATATCAAATTCCATGTTCACATTTTTGTGACAAAGTTCGTTGGGCATTAGATTTTTATTCATTACCATATAAATCAATTAATTACAGTCCCTTTGAACCTCGAGCACTTGAACATGCTCCACCGACGTTGCAGAAATTAGTACCCATTATTGAAGATCCAAATAATGAATCTTTTTTTATTTCTGATTCAACACCAATTCTACTCTATCTTGACAATCATTATGGAAACAAAAAAACATTATTTCCTCAGAATATGACTGTTGGAAAAGATGCTATTATCCAGTATTGTCTGAAATTAGATAGTCAATTAGGTTTATATGCTCGACGTTTAGCCTATCTTTATGTGATTAGTGAGAAGCCAGCTATTCTTTCTGTTTTTATAGACAGAAACTACGCAAAAACATCATGCGATGATTGGCTCTCTTATATTCGTGGTCTAATGAGTTCATGTTTTATAATTGCTCGTGTTGGAATTCATCGTATACGAGAAGAACACATTTCTGAAAAATTAATATGCATTTTAGAAGAAATTAAACAAAATATTGATGGAAAACAATATTTATTTAATGAACAATTTACAGCTGCTGATTTAACATTAACTTCACTGATCAAACCTTTAACAATAGTGCCACCTTTATTTACAAAATACAAATCTGTATTTGAATATTGTGATCGTATTCGAGCACGGCATGATCCAAAACCATTAGAAGAGCCCTTTGTAGGACGTCTACTTAAACATCAACGTCAAAAGAGACAACCATCACAATATCAATCGACAATTCGAAACATAATTTGGTATATGTTTTACATTCTGTTTTATCCATTAAAATTCCTTTTCATTATTGATACGGAAACAGACCAATTATATCAATATCCATCAACGAATACAAATGAAAGAGCGCATAATGATAATCGTATATTGAAGGGTGATTCATTTATCGGTACTATCATCTTTTTTATCACATATTTCTGGCATTTATGTTTTACTATACCACAACAAATGGAATTTGTCAATAATGAAGGAAATAGGATTTTGCATCTACAAAAATAAATAAACATCGTCACAGGCATTGCTTAAAAAATGTTACATTCATTTACTTATTAATAAATTCTCCTTATAGCTATTTAGAATAGCCACTTCTCAGGACAGAACGAGGGTGTGGGTGTGGGTATGGGTGTGGGTGTGTGTGGGTGTGGGTGTGAGGGTGCGAGTATGCGTGTGGGTGTGGGTGTGGGTGGATGTGGGTGTGGGCTGATGAAGAGAATATAAACCTACACCCACGCCCCACACCCACACCCACACCCACACCCAAGTTACAAAGAGTACTGCCAGATAGCCCTTGAAAAGTTGCCAAGGGTACCCCCAGATAGCCCTTGGATATCGTTTATTGTCGTGTTCGACGATGACGAATTTCTCGACTGCAATGTCTTCAAATGTTTTAATTGATCGTAGAGTCGACTCTTGTTCTTGATCGTCGTCATCATCATCTTCCAGAAGATTAATGATCTCATAGTCGACTGAGTTCGATGTTTGTCGACACAGTATAGTACCATAATTTTTCTCATCGAACTGATGAAAACTTCGAATTCCTTTGATGCGTCCTAGGGAAAAATACTTTTCATCGAAATCACGAAAAGCAGAATAAAGCGCATCTGTTAGCAGATTCCATCTCATCATGAGAAAATCTTTTAAGGTACTTTCCACGACACTACTCCCAAGATATAAGACATTAATCGGGATCTCAACTGAATTGTTTGCTCGAGTCGTATCATCGTAGAACTTCTTTGTGAAGTTGTAGAAATCTGCGACTGACGAAAACCCTTTGCCAGAAGTGAGCACCCAGCGAGTAGCTGTTGATTTAACTGTGGCACCAAGGCCATCACACGGACCCTTTCCATGGCCACTGGCCGAAAAGGTTCAACTAGCCTCTATGTCAAAATCTTCTTTATGATGAATTAAATTGTATATGTTTGAGTGGTTTTTAAAATGCGCCGGTGCGCCATCACTGGAAAAGGTGGATGTTTCTCATTAATCATTATTTATAAAGAAAACTACCTTCGGTAAATGATCCGCTTGACATCAGGGAAATGGTTTTTCAGAAACTCAACAATGAGACGTTGAGCACAGCACACGAAAGTCGTATCGTGATGCATATAATCACTGATGATTACTAAATTCTTATGGCCGTTATCGATCTTTATGTGAACGGTGAAAAGAGTGGGCTGTTGATTATTCCAGTGCGCCGCCTGCACTTCTCGTTGCCGAACAAAAGTATAGTTTTCGGCGAAATCCATTTGCACAACAACAAATGATTTTTCTCTCGCTTCTGATCGAATCTTATCAATAAATGCACGTTGCTCGCGGTTGATGTAGCTATGGAGCAGAAAAGCCGACCACTGTTCGTTAATTTCAGTAAGCAATGATGTTATGGTGCCTCGAATCTCGTGAAGATCCACCCCTTTGTCAACTGCTTTCCAAAGTGACCACGACCATATATCATCTTCATCAGTTTCATTAAAATAATCCAGCAAAACCGATGACGGTGGAACATGATTACATCGATCACAAATGCCCAAGAAGCAGTCTTCAAGAGAACCGTCACAAATAACCATGCTTATTAAGTCGCGAGCAGTAACTTTATTGAGTTTGTTGGCTCCAGACGATTTTTTCTGCATGTACTTGTTCCATGCCAGAAAACAAAGAATAATAGTTCGATAATTAGAGTGATAAAGGCGTTTTATGAAAGACAGAAAGTAGTTTTTACGCCTTAGACTTAAACAGATAATTTCAATTTGCTCTGCCTTTTTTCTCATCTAATTCTCAGAATAGTTCGCCATGCAGTTATATATTTATAGGTGAAAGCTTATCTTTTTTCGAAATCACAGCTAGACTTACTTGCAAAACAAGATCAAAATTTTCATGACATTGACACATACACGTCTGATGTGGAGAGGTGATTTTGACTTCGCGAGGTCGAAGAGAGTAGAAAGAAGATTTTCCAATTTTGACCGTTGGATTATCGTTGTAGAATTGTCGTAGGGCTTCCCCAATTGGCAGCTCGAGGTATCGAACTGCGACAGACTCATTCTTTATTTTCAGCACATCCTTTTTCTTTGGCGAAGCGCGACTAATACTGTCTTGCAAATAGAATTGTACAACAAGCTGAACTGTGTCATCATCAAGAAATTTATTTCCCCGGCAGTACTGGGGAAAAGCAAGAACACCTTTTTCTCGTCGAAGCAATATAGCTTATCGAGCATCATTTTCGGTGCAATTGAACCATTTGCAGACCTTGATACGACCCCAACTAAATGGTGCAATTGTCATCAGACGGATTCGTTCAGTGTCGCTACTCTGTTCATGAAGCTGCTTCACACCGTCCAGCAATTTATTTGATTCATCAATTTCAATGGCATGAGGATTTGGGTCGTGAGATTCAATATGAATATCTTCCAGAATGTCGCATAGACGATTGAGATGTCGATATACATCGTTGACTTGTTCTCGAATTAATTTGTTTCGACGGCTGTTTAAAAAAATAGAAGAATTGATAGGCAAACTATGAGAAAATACTTACTCATCACGTACTTTATTCATTTTCAGCAACTGAAAGACAGCATTCAATTCTTCTCGTGCTTTCTGTCGAGTGAACGGCTACTCTTCAGAAGATGGAGGATCAACGAGATCTTCAGATACATCGCTTGCGCTGCTTGTACTATTCGATCTTCATTATCAACGTTCAACTCTTGGGAATCGAATGATTCATTTGACAAAACTGACAGAAAATTGAAACACTGTTTGCACAGTTTGTCACCAGCTACCAACTTTTTTGACGACCAAACTGTGTTAGAAGATATATGTTCGTTGATCAAATCGGCTTCGACCGCGTTAATAGTCATTCGACCCTTAGAATGCGATGGATTACATCCTGATCGAGTATCTTTAGTATGCACAGGATGGGCACGCCAGATCTTCTTTTTGTACGGCATGTTTTTGACTTTTTGAAACCAATTCATGTAGCGTAGAAAATGAGTTTTGAAAATACTAGCTGAAAGATTCACTCTATTTTAATGTGTATATGTTTATTCGTAAATTCGAAATGTCTTGGAAAACAGTAAACTGAGCCTCACTACTCTCTGCAGACAGATAACAGTACCTGTTGATATAACGTTCTAAATGAAAGATACAATGGAATATACCATACGGTATTCACATTATCTTGGAGCACATGAAATATACATACCAAAAAGAAAGGAAGAAACTAAGAGAGAAACAACCACAAAAAAACCTGACAAAAGGAAAGAACCATATATGCAAGAAAAAAAAGAGAATGAATCTACGTAGTTAATACCACTAGTCATGCGTCCCATACGCCATATCATACAAACGTGTCATAACCATAAGAGTAAGATGAATCATATTTCCATATAATCAGTCACTGTTTAACGGATCAGAGTCAGAGTCGGCTCTCTACTGTAAAATTCTTTTATATAAGTTCAAATCACATATCGTTGACTCGACAAAATAGCATGTTAGAAACAGTTTTCATCGAAATCACTGTTCAGACACTCTCAACTGCGTCAAAATAGACTTAGAAATCTTCTTCGACTTCATCGTTCGACTTCGCAGATGTCACCATACTACAATTTTCAGCTCAAACAAATGGAATTTCAAAGCAATATGCATAAATGATCTTCTTTTTCCGGAATAATCATAGTCCTTAGTGTTTTGTCGAATTTTACGCACTATTTTGTCGGCGTGTTTCGATTGCCGTGCACAGGGTTTTTGTAGAGCAGACTCCGTACTACAAAGCCCACAAAGTCCCATTGTGCAGGAATACAGCCATTTTGAGTTATATGGTGATCAACTTTTTGAAAATGGATAGTCATAGATAGCCAGATATATAAACCCAAAGATTTCAGAAAATGTTTTAAGGCATCATGGCTTGTAGAGCTTTCTTTTCTGATCATTTTGACATAAAATTTTGCCCAATTTCATTGACAAATAACGCTGGTAGAGTCAAAATACTACAAAAAACAAGTAACCGATACGACTTTTTCATGCTTCAGTATTTTGACCCTACCGCCGTTATTTTTTGATGAAAAGAAAATTTTTTTTAATCAAAATGATCAGCACAAAAAGCTCTAGAAGCTCTGATACCTCAAAACATTTTCTGAGATCTTTGTGTTTTTATGGTATACTTCCCATGGAAGTGCCCTTGTATATTTGTCCTGAAGATCAATTGAAAGAAAAAGTGGAGAAATATATGGAAGATACTAAGAATTTTCAATTGATTGGGCCTTTTAATCTTGAAACATTATCGGATAATCATGTTCAACAAACTCTGATTACTATGAGTAATCAAGTAGTTAAAACATTGCATACATTATTTCTTCGAAAAGCAATTGCAACTGAACAATATGAGAAAATGATGTACTACAATCAAACAACAATTTGTAATTTCAATCATCTTTATTTTATACCAGAAATGCGTAATGTATGTATTCTTTTATTGATTTCTTTCGTTTTCGTTTCTGTTTGTTTTTATTTGTTTATAATTTTTTTCGTTCCTATTACAATAAAACCACAATCGTACCAATGATGACCAGTTATACAGAAGAATCAATGCATGCTATTGAATCTTTCATACATAGTCTTCTTCAGCCTCTCATCGATTATATTATTCATACAAGTTTTACATTTGTCGATGGATATTATGCGATTAAAGCTTTAGAAAGATATGCTGAACAAGGTGATCTTCGATCAGCAACTCTTTTCGTTAAAATCGATATTCATGATCTTTGTCTCATCATTTGCTTATTAAAGCTTTAGAAAAATTTCTACGTACCTATGTACGAAACGAACACATCGAAGGAACATCCATAACAACTATTGGTCAACTTGTTCAACTGATTCTTGAAAATCAATTTTGTATCCTTGAAAATAAATTATATCGACAAATTGCTGGTGGTTCGATTCGTTCAACATTGATCCAATAATTGATCGATATATATCTATATCATTTACAACATGATTTATATTCGAAATTATTCAAGAAAAAAGAAGTTATTGGACGACATCTCAATCAAATATTGTTTACTTGGAATGATTCAAAAGATGAGCTTTATACTTTACTAAAACGAGTAAATCTTTTTCATCCAAGACATATTCAAACTCAAATAACAACATCCATCGATAATAAAATAGAATATCTTGGTGTTGAAATCTGTCACTATGAAGGTCAACTGCAAACAAGAGTTTATCATAATGTTGATTATGAACCGTATGCCTTACCTTATCAATTAGAAACAACGACAGCAACAATACCAGAAGATTATGACTTATTATTAGATGCTGCTCTAGTTCAAGTCATGTTCTTTTGTTCAAATGTGGATGAATTTGAAAATGAACGGTTGTATATTGAAGTATCGTTTATTATCAATGGTGCGCCAATGAATATCATCCGAGAAGCAGTACAAAATTTTTTCGTTGAATTCCATTTATTCATGGAAGATAATACCTGTATTCATGAGATTACTTATCAAAATCGTCTACAATTTCTTCGAAATATTCCTCCAAAAGTAAATAAATATACTTTAGAAGCACGTGGACAAGAATGACAACGACATCAACGAAAAAAACAACGTCAAAAACAACAGCAATAACAACAAAAATAATTTCGAAGGCAATGACATTGTCAACGACAGCATCAACAGAATCGCAAAGAACAAATGAATTAAAAAGACAATCTATGATAAACATCATTATCATTACCACTTCTTTTCTTTATCTTTGTTTTGAACTTTAATTTTCAATTTTTTTTTCTTGTTTTCGTTTAGAATTCTATATTCGATATTCATGTTTATCTTTGATATTAATTAAGAAAGATTACTTTTTTTTCTTGCTTTCAGATCATTTATTTACTTTCGATAGATATATATCAATCGACATCAAACCAACTTGAAACCAATCATGGATATAAATGAAAATAATGTTAAAATAAAAAATTCTCTGAATATCAATGAAATGAATTCAAATGAACAACAGGATACAGATCAGCAAGAATCAAGATCATTATCATTCATCGTTGAACAGGTAAGATTTTGTCATGCGTATAACTTTCTTTTTCGAATTTGACTCTTTTCTTTTATTTTCTCATAAGGAACACATGGAAGATAAATGTAATCATCAAATAGATATAAATCAATCTTAATATAAGGCGACAATGATATTAGAAGTACATACAGAAAAATTAGATGTGATTATTGGGAGATGTCCGATGTTGAATTCAAAAACCGATTGTTTATGATTACTAAAAATGATCAACGTCGTCAAACTAGAATAAAACGGTGGTTAGAAAATGATGTCACAATATTGCAATTTATGCAAAAACATGCTTGTTTAATTGCTGATTTTTATTTAACAAAAATGGAATTAGATCTATATCAAATGTATATGAATATGACAGAATCGACATTGCTCTTGTTATCACAAATGTCTCAAACGATGATAAAATCCTATAGTATTGATCCGAAATATCTTCAAACTGATACTTATATTAAACAACAAATAAAGATTCTCGAAACACAAAATAATAAGGTACAGAAGAATCTGATCGACTATTTACAGCATCAAGAACAACATCAAGTATCAACATTATCAAAAATGGATATGATTCTTCTAAGAGCCTTTATTTTTACATTTGTTCAACAAGATCAACAGCAATATTTACATGCTGATATGCAAAAGAAAAAAATCTCTTATTTATTTATGCCAATGATGTTCGCTTAGTAAAAGAATTCTATGATTTAAAACCTAATCAGAAACAAGTAAGACTCTGGCCATTCTCTACCAAGAAAAAATTTTTAATTTCCTACTCGATAAAAAAACAATGGTAATCTTGTTTGATTTATTCTAGCCTATGCTGGCACAAAATATTTGGCGAGCAACAATGAATGAACAACAAACCAAGAAGAATAATAGTGATACTAAATCATCTCGTTTAAATCATAAAGAAGATAATATTACTGACCGCTTTGTACGATCTAATAATAATCATTCAACTGATAGTACATTGTCACAATCCTCGATGAACTCTTCGAATTTGAAAAATCCACTGCAATCCTCAAAACATCAAGTACCACAAAATGATCAACAAGATTCTTTAAGACTCTTGCCATTAACAATTGAAAGAAATGCTGAAATAATAGAAAACAAAAAGAAGATGTTTCTTGATAGTGATCAACAACAAGAGCAAGGAGAAAATTCATCAGAAAAAAAACATTCTGAATCAAAATGTTAACTTACTAATGGATATTATTGAAAGTCGTCAGCGAACAATTATACAACGTATTCAATTCAATAATGAGTTCAACAAGATACTTCTTAATTTGAATCATAATGATTCTGATGCGATAAGTGAAAGCAACAATGGCAAAGACAATATCCATGGCGATAACGATGGATATATCAAATATATGAACAATATTGACATCAACAATGATGGTGCCTACGACTATTGCTATAAACTATATCCTTCGCAATAGCCAGCTGAACAGAATTTCACTGTTTCTTATCTATATGTCTTTTAGTTCAATTAGAATTAAGTGCATGTTTATATAGCATTCTATTTCTAAATCCTAATTCATTTTCCAAATAAAAAAACGAAGATAATAGCCTAAATCTGCAGCAAAGTTTTCAATTTCAAGACTTCTTCTTTATTCATTTTCAGATAATCCAACAAACCATCGTATAAAGGCAAACAAAACACAATTGAGTGCTGTTTTCTTTTTCGAATTCATCATCATCCCACAAGCCATAAAGTGGGAACGATATATTCTTATTTCTTTCAATCAGCTTCTTGTATTTCTATCCATTTTCAATTAACCTACATCAAATGGTCAAAACTCTATTCAAGATATCTACTCTAGATTAATAGCTTCAGTCATACGATCTGTACAATGCAAAACAAGAAGTTCCATGAGACCCACAATCTTCAATAACACCGCAACAATTAAAATAAAATTTTTCCTTCAAGCAACAATCCAAAGAAACCAAACCATATAGAAACATTAAAACTCCAACTCATGAAGCATCAGATGGTTGTGATGCATTGCTCTGAACAATCCACCTACCAAAGCGACAAGAACAAACCACCATAAGCATAATAGCATAACACCCAAAGTAAAAACAACACTTCAAAGCGAAAATATAAAGTGGAAACCAGCAATTACTCAAAATCACAGGCTAAGAAGATGCAATTTTGCCAACCCAAACACATGCGTTCTCATTACACAAACAACGACAACAACGCGTCAAAACCACATAGCGCAACAAGCGGAAACTGCTGCCGACGACGCAACAAAACCTAAAAAAAAGAACCCTATCATTGTCCATACTGACAATAATTTCAAACCCAAACCACAAAACTTTTAACAAATATTTCTATCACGGATCCCCACTTCTCGAAAATTTCTCCGGACGATTCAAACCTGTAATACAAATATCTCCTCACATCTGAACACACTTCCCACACCAAAAATCAAAAACTACTAGTATCATGCCACCTATACGAAAAACCGCAAACCGTTCTTCTATCACTTTTTCAATATATCCAATGATATTATAAATAGCTTCCGAATTCTTTTCAACCTTCGATCTTCATCGACTAATATAAAGAGACACATAATAATATTTACTTCACCAAAATCTACGAATTATACGATCGTCGTACCTATACGAACCAAAAAGCCTTTCCTCAGGACTTCTTTATTTTCCTCGAAAAATTCAGAATAGATATGCCATCTGAAGTGTCCTGTTGCAGGGACGAAACCGGTCATGGCAGCTACTGTATACCTAAACTACAAATTGAAAGTTTTTTACTATACTTATTTATAAATTGGAAAGATCGTTAAAAAAAGGCAAAAAAATGCGTGTGAAGTAGCCTCAATACACATGACGACACTATCCGACCTATGAAAATGTTGAGTTCTATTATTCTAAACTAAAGCAAATAGGAGTTTGCACCGAATTGGGCGGCGCATCGTTGCAAAAAAAGATCAACGTTTTACCATGTTCCTGAATAAAGATACATGCAAAACAAAAAATGTCGCAAAACTTTTGTCACATCCGGTATATAGCCTACAGCTGAACAATAATTACAAGTATTTGACACATTTCTCCATATGAGCCGCTCTCTTATAAATATTCTTCGATAGAGCATAACGAGAACTATAAAATGATATATAATTTGATCAGATTCTGAGTTGATTGAAGGTGCCTAAAGTGTGTATATAATTTTGAGAGGTATGAAAAGTGCAGTCTTTCATTAAGTTCTAAGTCAGTTTTCTGATAACCAGTCGATTTTTGGTGAAAAAGAATGGTATGTTTGAAATCCGTAAGAAAACTTGAGTCAATCTGTATACTTTTAAAATTCCTTCAAGCGCTTTCATTTCAGTTGTCTAATAATAGATCTTTTTTATGAAATAATAGTGAAACACTAGTGGTTTTCATAAGAAACAGTCCATAATTTAATGCTGTTTCTAATCAGTATAAACTGATTTTAGTTCATTGATCAAAAATTGTACATAATGAGCTACTATTGAAAAAGTAGGCCTTCAATGAGAGAGTCCAATACTTTTGTTGTGGATATTCTATCTTAATAGTGGTTTCTAACTATTAGAATTTCACTTAAACTTTTTACGAAAAAATTCGTCTCATTTTTCCGCATAAGTTTACCAATACAGGAGCTGAAAATATTATGTAGTCCACAATCAGTGCCGTATTCACAGCCACTCCTTCGATAAATAACAATACTCTAGGTCTCTTAGCTATCCTAAAAGTTTTAGTCATCTAGCACTCTGCCTTGCTGAGCCAGCACTCATTCAATTCGTAGAGGAAAAGTCGTAGGAAACAATAAATGTTAATTCATCTCTAAGTTCATTGTCTCTTCTGTTAATATAGTCAAATACCATTGTAATATTTGATGTTGGGTGTGGATGATGGGTTCTTTTACCTTCACAACTCATGGCTTTTAATAACGAAAACCAAAAGAGATCAATGTACATTCCTATACGCCTTCATCCTTTATTTTTAGTTGTTAGTCTTCACTCATAGAATCGATAATCAATCACAATAAATTCTAATGAATTTTTACAGATATAAGAGTCAAAAAAAAATAAACAAAGATACAACAGATTCTAGCGTCTTCTGCCAGTATTTCATTGGTACTTCATTCACACTTTGGACTACCGACTCTCATTTCTTCTCTCTTGTTATGTGGTGCGTGCCTAGATCTAGATGCAGAGCCTCACCCACACCTAAAACAGTGCAAATATATGTGAATATATATATTATGCAAAAATGGTTATATTTACTGATCTTTCATCAGAAGAAAGCGTCTCTATTTTAATATTTCACAACTAATACCTTAGGACTTATATTTAATTGAGCAATAAAAAATACAGAATGAGCAATAATCAAATTTAGCGATAAATATATAGAATGAGCAATATATATATAGAATGAGCAATATATATATTGAATAAGCAATATATATATTGAACGAGCAATAATTAGATGGAATGAGCAATAATTCCATGAAATGAGCAATAATTAATTAAAATGAAGCGTAAAATGTATATAAAAGGGCAATAATAACTCGTTTTTTACAACACTAAACGTTTTCTCATCCTCATACAATTTATAAATAACTTATATACATGACTCAAGCACAACTCATAGCGCACTATTTTTCTGATTCTGATAATGACATTGATATGGAAACGCAACCTTCCATTGACAATGAAACAATTGAAAGAAAAAAGCAAAACAGGCGAAAATGGCTTCCATTATGCACGTACAATGATAAGAATGATGTTATTAAGAAAATCAAGGATGATGGTATATGGAGCAAAACACATACGAATATCACCAACGAAGGAAAACGGACTTATTATAGGTGTAACCAAGTTAAACGACGTGGAAAACAATGTCCAGCTAGTATTCATGTTTTATATCATAGTGAAAATGAATGTGTTACAATATACAAAACAGAAGATGATCGTTTACATAACGAACCAAGATCTATTGGTATTAATCAACAATCAAAAGAAGTAATATGCGAATTATTCAAAATGAAAATCAAACCAAAACGTATACTAGAAATATTAGAAGAAAAAGCTCTANTCCACTATCACCTCAAAATCCCGACCAACGTTTAGTGATACTGCTAGAACAAACACAAAGTCGTCTTGTTCTTGTTCATTCAATGACACAAGGCAGATTCAGCGAGAATATTATCACAGTAGACATCGAAGCAACTGTAAACAATAATCTTATAGTAAATAAGTATGATCCTGATCGACTATTCAATAACATCGTCACATCGAAATGTATCGCGGCAATAGTCTTTACAAGTGGCTCAACAGGAACACCTAAAGCAGTCAGTTATAACAAGTTTTATATAAACCCCTGGGCAAAAGTCTTTCCCCCCACCTCTTTTTTCAGCAGGAATTGCTCTACTATTGTAAAGACAAACATGGTGTTGTTCAGGCCAAATAAAAGAGAACCCGAATAACTCCTAATCGGCCCGAACAACACCATGTTTGGTCCTTTTAGTAGTAGAGAAAACCTTGCCGAAAAAAGAGGTGGGGGGGGGGGGAGACTTTTGCCCAGGGGTGTATCTTCGTTGTTTTGAGCTTTTCTTTGTGTTTAGGCTCAACTACGGCAAAGAAATCTCGTGGGCTGTATCGAATCACTTAAGAATTTAGGCATGTTGAGTGGGAAGGACTCTGTTGTGCAGCTTACTCGCTGTTCCTTCGATCTTCACATGCTTGAAATTTTAGGAGCACTCATGCTCGGTGCCACATTAGTCATGCTTCATCCCAAAGGCAACATGGATCTTATGTACATTGCCTCTATTCTAATTGATAAACAAATCAGTTTCATGTTTGCTGTACCGACATCGATTAATAGTCTGTGCGATTTAATCGATGAAGTTCAATTACCTCATTTCTATGCAATGCGATCCCTTTGTGCTGGAGGTTCGTAAAGCGGAAAGAGAAGAGTCTTATCAGAAATTATTTTTACTTTTTTTTCATAGGAGACATCGTTGCTGCTAAGTTGACTAAACGAATAAGAAGTATTGTCACTTCAAATTGTCTAATATGGAACGGCTATGGACCAGCTGAGACAACGATTTTTTGCACATGTCACCGAATAGATTTAATGAAGGGCAAAGGCATCGTTCCTATCGGCCAACCGCTTCCAAATTATCGATGTTTAATTCATGACGAGTTTGGTCAACAAGTGATCATCGGCCAGCAAGGTGAACTTCTTATAGGAGGTGTCGGTGTATTTGCCGGCTATCTCGGTCGTGATGAATTAACTGCAACAGTATTAGTCGAAATTGAAGATGAAACATACTATAAAACAGGTGATCTTGTGAGAATGGATAGCAACGGGCTGATTTATTACATTGGTCGGAAAGATGATCAGATAAAATTGCACGGACAGCGCATCGAAGCTGGCGAGATCGAACACTGTTTGCTTGATGCTCATATTGCCGCCTGTGTCGTCATGAAATGGGGCGAAGACCATTTAGTGGCTTATGTACAAGGCTCCTGTATAAATGAAGAAGATTTGAGAAAACATTGTCGCTCTCGGCTACCACCATTCATGATACCTTCGATGTTTGTCGTACTTGATCAGCTCCCATTGAATACAAATGGTAAAGTGGATCGACAATGTCTTCCAGCTCCAAACTGCTCTACCTTAGATACGTTGAAAAGCAACACAGTTGATGCTCCACAGACAGAAATGGAAGAAAACGTTCATGCTATTTGGTGTGAAGTACTACAATGTACCGGCAAAAAGATTTCAACGAATACCGGTTTCTTCACTATCGGTGGTCACTCGCTCCTTTTCATTAAGCTGTATCATCATTATCAGTCGTCGTTCAATTTTGATAACCACACATTTAGTATTGCACCATTTCTTCAGCAAGCAACTATCGCTGAACATGCCAAGCTGCTTCAGAAAATCAATTTAGTCACTGCAAAACCGAAAGCATGGCAGTCGCTGCACATCAGCGAAGGTAATAACTATTTTACCAAATATTTTCAAAGTAATGCAAAAGTTCTAATTTTATAGGCATTGCATCATTTGCCCAAGAGCGCATCTTTCTTGATGAGCACGTACGCTTCTCAAAGAATGTTGCTGTTTACAATGAGTTGACAGTGTTTACAGTAAAGAACGGCTTTCTGTCAGTCGAGCGTCTTCAGCGATCCATTGCAGCGTTGCTGGAGAAGCACCACGTGCTAAGAACGTCTATTTTTTTTGACAAGAATAGTGGAACTGTGATGCAAAACATTCTACATGATATACATCATAATCCTCTGTTGGTAATGAAGCAGACATATGAAAATGACCTCGAACTTGACTTGATTCTTCACAAAATGATCATAAATCCAACCATGTTCGACTTAGCAAAAGGACACGTGGTTCATTGCGAAATTATTCGACACAGATCGACACACGAAATCATTGACAACGATCAGATTACTGCTTCTGACATATTTGTTTTGGCCTTTCATCATGTGGCATTTGATCGTGCATCTGCTTCAATTGTCTACGAGGATTTGTCGATCGCATATAATACGAATCAACCTCTGGAGATTAATAATAGCTCATTGCAATATATTGATTACTCTGCTTATGAACGCCAAATGGATATGACTGCGTCACGTGATTTTTGGCGATCACAAATGAATGGATATGATTATGAACATCACTTATCGTTACCAGTCGATCGACATCGTTCATCAGCTAATGAACGATCGAGTGTCGCCTGTTGCAGTCAGTTCTTTCTTAGTAACGAGACCTCAGCTGCGTTTCTAGCGTATGCCTCTTCGCACAATGTCACACCTTTCCAACTTGGTCTTGCCACATTCTATGTATTTCTATATAAGTTGTGCAACGGTAAAAGTGACTTGTGTGTTGCTTGTGTGAATGCGAATCGCTATAGACCAGAAATACAAAACATGATCGGTATGTTTGTCGCTACCCTTCCCTATCGTATTCAACTCAATCCTCATGATTCTTTCGACGAGTTGGTTCAACAAGTTCGAGATAAATGTTTGTCGATTCTTGAGCATTCATATTACCCCCTTCAGCATATTCTCTGTAGTTCTAATCGTTCAAAGCCTGCGGTGTCCTTGTTGGAGATTGTTTTCGATTGTAACAATGTTTCCTCGGAAATCGAATGGCTAAGCTTTAACGACACGGAAATTACGTCTGTCAGGCTACAAGAATTGGATGAAGTGGCTAAAGTGGACTTCAAGTTGACTTATAGTTTTCACACATCAGAGAAAAATTTGATTTCGTGTTCTGTTCTTTGTGCGCAGGATGTATTCAATCAAGATACAGTTTCAACGATGACCCGACGGCTCGATCATCTGCTGCTACAATTGTTTCCATCAGAATCAGCCATTGTCCGGAATGATTTATCACGATTACAGCTTAGTAAACTCACCCTCACTCTAGCAGAAGAAGCCATGGCGATGCAGCTGCTGAGATTTCACCGATTATCGAGTTATATTGACACTGGTGAGTCCACTTTTTGTCTTGCGTTCGAAGGTTGATATTCCGATTAAAAGGTCATTATCATCATGAAGTTTCTGAAAAATTGCATCTTGAGTTCACTTCGGCGTGACCAATATTTTTTGGTCACGGTCACGTCACAGTCACGATCAGTTCGGTCACGGTTACGGTCACGGTTACGGTCACGGTAGCCACGCAAGTCTCTATACAAACGACTATTTCCTTTTTCTCAAAATAGCATACCCTTTTATTCCGACAGGAGGTCCCTATATTAGAAGGCTTTCCATAATAGAAGATCCCCTTGGAGGAAATATCTGCGAGACTTAGTATAAGACCTCATTCAATTATAGAATTTTTCAAAAAATGACAACTTCAACTGCTGGATTTACATCATAATATGCTTAGTGTCCAGAGTTGTAAGCTGAAAACCTTAACTAAGTGTTTTCAACATTTTATCTAGGCTTTTAAAATCCGAAAAATTCTTTCTCACAGCTTCAAAATCGCTTTGGCTTTGTGAACAATCTTTTTAGTTGAAATCTGTAAAAACAAAAGAGACATAACACAAGACCCTCTGGAAATTTTTTGAGATTAGACGCAATGGAAAACCTCGACTCTCCTCGTGCGGAGAGACGGAAGGTAATATAAAAGATAAACGAAAAGAATTAGGTATGAAAAAAAATTGATGAATTTGTTTTTGAGAAGATCTCTTAAAGTTCTTGAAAGCTTATTTGGCCAAAGCCTCAATAGAAATGAGTGAAATCAGAAAAAGTGGGAGAATGATCAATCGTCGAATAAGCCATCTAATAAAAGTCAAAAAAGCCGAAAATATATGAAAATGACAAAATTCTTGTTCAAGGAGGTCTTAATATTTTTTAATGGTATATTTTTTTCTAAAGTATTTCTATGCGAACTGTTTAAAATATATCAATACTGAGCATATTTTTTCTGGTATCGCGATTGTATTGATTCTATTCCTTCGTTTTGAGTTAGCATAATTAGAAAAGGATATTGATACATATTGAAAGAATACTAAATATAATATTTAATTCTTTAATAAAGTTTGAAGATAATCGCCTTATAGTTACATTGAAAATTTATCGTGACTAGTCGTGACCAGGTTTTGGTCACGGTCACGTCACGGTCACGACTTTTTTTCGAAAAATGGTCACGATCGTGACTCACGACCGTGACCGTGACTCACGGCAGTCACGGGGGTCACGCCGACGTCTACTCTTGAATCTAAAAGTGTAACTTTATGAGTGCTCTAGTTTTGAGAGAGTTAGTGTGAGAATATAGCAGCACACGGAGAGATCGTAGTCTGATGCTTTTCAGTATGTCTCGTTTTCCATCGTACTCAATACTACGTGTTGTATTGGCTATGAAAACATTTTATTCTTTGCTACGCTGTAATGACATAATTCTAGGCATTTCAAGAAAAAAGCTTTTCAAAAATGAAAAATCAGTTTTCAACAATAATGATTGTTTAAAACTAATTTGCATCTCCTTATGGTGATTAACGTGTTTTTGAAGAACATTGTGAAACGACATTGACTAGTCTATTTTATTATTCTGGATTGCGCTGCTTTCTTTGAAAAATATTGAGTTTTCAAAACTATTTATTTAAGTAGAGTTTTGTAGCGTTTCTAATATTTTGTGCCCGCTTTTCAGATGGGGAAAAAACTCGAATATCATCTCTGTGAATTATTAAACTGTGTACAACATGAGCTAGATGATGCATTAGTGTCAGTGGCGGTGCGGTTCTCGTCTTTGATGTTGATACACACACACATTAGCACAAACCCTACAAGCATGGTGACGCCGTTGCCATCACCATATTATTCGTAAAAGTATTGTTCCTTCGTTTTTTATTCTTTTGTGAAACTCACATATATTTTCGAAGAAAATAGTGAATGTAAGTTTTAAGGTCACGTTTTTGCGGCTCTCCCCTCTCCCCCATGCCCATTACAGACACCATAGCAACCGAGGGCCCATTACAGACACTTGGCAACGTAGGTCTCCATTATAGACCTTACCAACCAATAATAAAAGATATCAGATTTTCGAGTGCTTTTTTTGGAAAATTGATCAACTTATAATTTTGAAAAATAATGAATATCATTATTTGTTTGTTGATTAATATATATGCTATTGCATAAGGTATGCTGTAGACATCATGAATTTGTGAAACAGACTTATTTGTCAATCAGTTCAATAATTATAATAATAAGAATGTTAAATTAAGAAAAACGAATTTAAAAAAATGAAAAATAATGAGCGAATAGCAACAATGCAAACAAACAATAGGGCGCTCGTATATAAAAATGAAAAAGTTCTGTTCGAAATGGAGAAATTAGAGAAGTCATTATTCTTGACATCAATCACCTTGCAAAACAGCAATAGTCTACTAAAGATTTATCACTTTACGTATTTTGCATTGATTTAATGAGGCAACAGTGTATATGTGAGTTCCACATTTCAGCCCCAAAGGGGCTGCGCTAACAGGCTTTTTCTTCAGGTTGATTGTAACAAGAACTTGTAATTGAAAAATCAAGTGTACATTCTAGAAAAGATTGAGATTCCGTATCACAAAGTAATTGTGCTAGTTTTGATTTTCAATCATTTGATGATGAGTGTTGCGGCGTCTTTTGTATCCATTTTGCTCTGACGTCTTCGCTTTTAACTACTCCATTATTGCTCTTCCAACGGTCAGTGAAAGGTTCGATAGCAATTAAGAGAGCATTCATGAAGGGAGAGCTGAGCGTTATCCAAGTATACTAAGCATCTCATAAAGAAATAATGCTTGTTCTATATTTCACTTATTCGAAACATCAATACAGGAAACAAACTATATGAAGATTTCGGCTTCTAATATCCTTACTTGGAAAAGCTAGACAATATCAATTTTAAGTAGTATCCTAATTTCATGTGAAGAAAAAAGTAAAAATGATCGTATTAGAGGTACGTCTTGTTGATTTATAGCAGATTATTCAAATCTCTTATTGAATATATTAACCGATAGAGGCTTAAAAACTGAAGAGCATTGAGTATTTGAAAAACGTTTTGGCGTCTATTGATTCACGTTATAAAGGGGTATTACTAAAATTCGCTCTCACCCATTGCCACCCACTCTGACCGTCGTTTCATTCAAAGGTAATACCGATCTATACAGCATAAAATTCTCCATTTATTAGACCTCACTTCGATCCATTTTCTTCAATTAATATCAGGCAAAACAATTAAATACCATCTTTATGAGTTCACTCTCACCCACACTCACCTCACTCTCATCCAGATCTTCACAATAAAAATAAAATTGGACAGTAAACAAACTTATCGAAAGCCTCCGATACATTTGAATGTATTCAAACGACTATCCGTTTCAAAATAAAAGAGACCTTACGATTTTTTGAAAAACTTTTGATAGAAACTAGGTAAAAGCCTGCAATTTTCATCATTCGAAAGAGAAATGTTGTAGCTATAAATATATTAAATTTAATTGGTTAATCATTGACCATTCAGGTGAATTGTTGATGGACATTTTGGCAATCAAATTCTGAAGGCATTTTCGGTTCAATTTTTACTTTTAACATGATCATTCAATAGAGAAAAACATTCTCTTTCGATTTACGTAAACCCGACATTTCTAACTAGTTTCCTTCAAAAATTATAAGGGTTTTCCAGAGACCTCGGATTTCGGTCATTTAATCTTGAATCACGCCAAAAGATGTGAAGAAAGGGCAATTTATCACGCTGAGTCGACTGATGATGTTTGTTTTCCGTTTCAAAGAGATATAACACAACTATATCAAGATTTTTGAAATTCCAAGTTTTGCCGCTTTACAGTCTGCAGAGTTCCTATTTCGAAAATCTTGGTATAGTAGTGTTATATCTCTTTGAAACGTAAAACAAACATCATCAGTCGACTCAGCGTGATAAATTACCCTTTCTNGTTTCATGATTTATGTTTTTTATTTAATTTTTGAAAGCTGTTCAAAATAAATAGGACGGAACTGAAGAGACTATTTTGATCACTATGCTAGTGTTGTGGGTGTGGGTGTTGGGGTGTGGGTGGGTGTGTGGGTGTGTTAGTATGAGTGTGGGTGTTGGTATGGGTGTCGGTGTGTGGGTGTGATTAAAGACAGCAATGACACTCTATATTTATCATCCAACATCGACGAATTTTACGCAATGATTTCATATAATATAAATCTGGTACAGTTCATTCTTAATTATAATTTGAGTTTGCTTTGACTTTTCTAATGGTTATTTTTAGATATTGAAAAAGACACATTAGTTCTTTAACTAATTACAATTCTTTTTTTTTCTTTGATCTGTTTCAAACTTTTGTTAGGAGCTATTAACACCTATTTGTTTACAAAGAGTGTCAGTTTTTGTTAGTTGGTAGCTGCAATAAGACGGTCGATTATCAAAATTTTACATAGTTTTAAAAGATTATTCACCACGATGAACTCGAAACAGTTTTTCCCTGTTTTGCTCGTTTTGGTTGGTGTCAGTCTGGCTCGTGACATAAAAAGCCATTTTCTTGATACTGTAAAAAATAGTAGTTTTCTCCATCATAAAGAAACTAATACGGTATGGGAATACTTAGGAGCATATGCGCAAACAGAAGATACAGTTAATTTTATTCTTGAAATACTTGTATTTCAATCATGTGTGATGTTTTTCCAGCCTCAATGGCTTTTGCTATGCAGGCTTGCACACAATATCGGACTCGAATTTTAGATAACGGCAGTGCGCGTCGATTGAATGAGTTGTTTGAAGCTCATATTCGAGTACGTGAAAAACGGCAAGTCGTAGGAACCATGCTAACTGGTGCGGGGATGTATGCTGCATATAAGATTATTGGTGATCTTTTTCGAGGAAGTAATGACGAAATAGTGCATCGATTGGACGAAAGTGAAAACTTTCGAAAACATCAAGAAAAATTAGATGATGTGTTGACTACATCTATTTTATCATTAGAAGATGATAATCTTATTATGTTGAAAAGTTTTAAGAGCTTGTTTGACAGCGTGAATGCAACACGTTCTTTGGTTCATAGTTTATTGAAGATGTCGTTGAAAGAGCAAAAGACTTTCACAGGTTGGGCAAAGTTTTCTTTGAAAAGCGAGATGCGTCGGCATTTTGAACAAATGATATCTGCATTTTCAAGAGTTGCTAATCATGACTTGAATTTACAGATGTTCTCTCCAGAACAAAGGATATTTGTTCACGAGTTCTTATGGAATCGTATTCAATCTAGATTTCCATTGAACTTCTCAGCTTCGTTGGCACAATTTGTACCTAATCTTCTAGTACAGCAGGTCATCTCCTTTGCTCAAGTAAATGAAAGTGAGATATCGTACGAATTACGAGAAGATGATTTCAATTTTGTTGTTGAAATAGGTGCAGATGAGGAAGTTCGTCGAAATGAATCTCTTGACCTTGATTCCATTCTGCCAAAGATTGTTGGTCACGCTCGTATTGAAAACTTTTTTGCTGTTCCAACAAATTTCTTGGAGAAGAAGATGGATCTATATAAAATAACTCGTTTGCCATTGTTCGTTGATGAAAGCAAAGCAGCTTACACGGCGAATCTTCCCGTTTATCTATCATTCGGTCAAGATGGAAGTTCGTCAGAGTGGTTTGATCACGCAGAACGGAGGTGCACAGTTGATGAAGTATCACGATATATGTTTTGTTCTATTCCAGTACCTGTATTTAGTTCGATTCAATATCCTTGCCTACGATCAATTATTTTGAATAATTCAACGAAACATTGTTTCAAGGGCATAGTTGATTTATCCTCACCACACGTTGTTAAATTCGCACCTAACGTACATGCAATAAGTGTTCACACCTCGTTGCAATGCTTTGAAAAAGGTGATAAGGAAAATAAAAATGTATTCAGTAATATAACAAAAGTAGCTATCATCAAAACACGTTGTAATAGTTTTGTATCTTGTGGTAGTTTAGATTTTTCGTCTGTCGGTGGTGTTTGTGACAAGAGCTTAAGCTATATATTTGCTTTCAGCAACACATACGAAAGTCCATTTATACTGGACAAGTCAGTAAATCCTGTTGATGTTGAAAGTGATAGTTTAGCCCAAATAATGGATATTTCAGCACTAATTGAATCAACTCTTTCGCATAGAAAACATTTGGAAAATACTAACATAGAGCTTCAATCTTACACTCATTATACGGTAAAGACTAAATTTTGGCCCAAATTGTTTTTTGGATTTTTCCTCCTATTTGTGTTTGTAACCATTTGTACTAATGCGTTTGTATTTCGATCTTCTTTAAAAAGAAATTGTTTTCTTGATTGGAAGAAAAAAATTGATTGCTTGTCTTACTTATGCTTTGGAAAGAAAAGAAATCAAGCTGATGATTCACTATTAGATGTGAATGTTCATATTTCACCGTCGTTGCCAAAAAATGCTTTCTATGACAATGTGCATCAAATCAATAAAAAAAAAGATAAATTTCAACCTCTTTCAAAAGAAGTTGTATTTAGTAGTCTGCCACCACATTCACTATATTCAAACCACTCACCGAAAGAAACATCTCTAATCAATGCGGAACTTGTACCAGATTGTATACCTTTAACATCACACATTTCTCCACCTGACGTTTCATCAAAAGTTTTGTCGTCTGAATTTTTTCGTAAAAAGCCGAATCCGTTACCGAGAAAAATTTATGACTATGTGAGGGAGTCTGTTGATTTGTCACTTATCGATTCGAGCAACACCTCCGGAGAATTTTTTGAAGAAGATCGTGAAAGTGCAAACTGAGCGCATCTCATTTTATCTCAGCCATGAAAATCGACCACTACTTATTAATTTGTTTTTTTTTATACGTGTTCTATTTATTTAAATAGTATGTAGTCTAAAACTAATCATTTTTGTTTCTTAATGTCTTTTCAAATTGTTTCGCATATTCGTCTCTCTTGTTTTATTTCTCTATTTTATTCTCATATATCTGATTGGTGTCTTATCATGATCAATTTACAGCTCAAACGATCATAGTCGTTGTTTCACATTGATTTATTACTTGTTGATCGATTAATGGTCATCATCTTCACGTTTTGACAAACTTCTATTTAGTGATATCACTCACACGTCAAATGCAAAACATCATAGGTCAATATGCTCAATCTTATTCATCAATTTGTTGATATGCATTATGTTCTTTTATTGATTGGCCATTAATCAATTAACCCGTTGGTGCCGGGGATTTTTCTGAATACAACGAGACAATCGATTATGTATTGTTAGAAAATAGTGAATGCACTATGTATGAATATCTTCGATACTTTCGGAGTACTGATTATTTCCTGCATCAATAAAGGAAAGCTACTCTAGACGTTATTACCATTCACTTTTAATTGATTTGATATAAAAATCTTCATTCGATTTGATAAAATACTCGAAATGGTATATATACCACGTCCCGCACCAAACGGTTAAATATACGTGATTTCATAATCGAACGACTATTAACAAGCTTGTCATTATAGAATTTACTAATGTTCATTGATTCTTTGATATTGTTTTTGCGTCACTTTTTCTTATTATGTTTTGTTTTTTTTTCATTTTGTTTTGTCATACTTATAGACAGTAGTTCTTTTTATGTTAGTGGCTGTTGTTTATTCATTTGACAATAACACAATTAAAGCTAATTCTTAGTACACATATTCAAAAAAAACTGCTACATTATTTCTTTGACTCTCTGCTTGTCAATATACTTTGTTTTAAATATGCTATTCTCAACAATATATTCCAAATATTGAAATATTACGTATTTTTATTTTATCATTTGATCATAATATAATCTTAATTGCAAGTTGAAATAGTAACATAAAAAAGCAAAGGATAGCGGCTGGATCCATTATATGACTGTCTTTTTTTTTTCGTGCCAATCTTCGAATCGGATACCTTTTCTTTTTTTTAACAATTCTTCAATAAGTTCGTCAAATGGTGGTAAAGTTGTTGTTAATACAGTGCTTGGTAAAGCTGTCGTTAGTGGACGCACTTGAACGCGCATGAAACCTTGAGATTTTGCAGCAGTGTGTTAAATAGTGATGAAATACAAGTAGTTGAAAACAGCTTACGATTATGGTACCATAAGCCCGAACCATTTTCACCGTAAGAGTGAACTGTTTGGACGACAAACGAAAACATTATGAGAAAACATTGGCAGTTCATGTTATGAATGACCTATACTCGTTATGCACAGAATGTATTTATGTATAAAGTCGCTTCTCTGTATGTTCGTTGCCAAAGAGATACATTTTATTCAGCTGTGAAAAATTTTATCATTTCATTTTTTTCCGTTCTTATAGAAAATGTCACGTAACATAAATTTTTTTCTTCCCTTTTCTTATGACCGTTATAGCTGCTCATAACAATTCACAATAAAAAGCTATCGCGAACAAACAAATCTTCAAATTTAAATATATACAGTAATTCAAAGAGTATCACAGATTATCATTGCCGTATTATAAAACACAATAATTCATTAAAGTATGCATAATCATTTCATTCTCAAAAAACGATAAGATTTCAAATATATACAAAACATATCCTTACTGAATGCGAGTCTGTTTTGAAAGTCCTTCAAGTATTAACTATCAAACATCACGACGTTTAATAATTTATTCACACTCTTAAAAAAATATAAGATTTTATTTTTCATATTTATAAAAAAAGATCGTACATAAAAAAGTAATCGTTTCATAATTTACAATAGGGTGTGGGTGTGTGTGTGGGTGTGGGGTGTGGGTGTAGGTGTGTTGGTGAAGAATAGAACACCACCCACACCCACACCCACACCCACATCCGCCAATCATTTGCAAGCACTATGAAATATTTCTTTACCATGCTTAGGCTTGTGTGCAAATAAAACTTTATCTTATCCTTCGTTAACGGATTCATAGTCGCAATACTCGCTGTACGGACGCCGTTATTACATGGCATTATGACATAGAATAGATTTTCTTTGTGAATCATCGAGTCATATTCTTCCTTCTTTCCTTCATACTGACTAACAGCTGTTCGACTGCAAGCAGTGGGTATTTAAATAAGTCACAACAAATAGAAAGCTTCATTCACCACAATGCTTCAAATCAAGCAAGACAGTTCCGTTCGCAGACAACAGTCAGAATAACAGTATATACCGTTGAAAAAAGTCTTTGTTGAAGCATACATTAAGTCGTTCGCTGCTGATGTTACGATCAAACAAATTTTTCGTAATGATGAAACGAACCCAATTGAAGCCGTCTACTGTTTCCCAATAGAAGAACAAGCAGCAATTTACTCGTTTATTGCTCGGATTGATGACCGAGAAATTGTTGCACAATTAAAAGAAAAAAAACAAGCACAAAAAGAATATAATGATGCTCTTCAACAAGGTCATGGTGCATATTTACTCGAACAAGATGACAAATTTCAAGATAATTTTATTATCAATGTTGGCGCATTACCACCAGGTAAAGAGTGTCACATTTCCATTTCCTACGTCTCCGAACTTGTTTTAATTCAAAATGGAAGTCGAATTCGTTTTGTCATTCCGACGACGATCGCACCGCGATACAATCCAGACAAAGGTGGTATTAATTCACCAGTTGGTACCACATCCAAATATGTTCAGTTAGTTCCATACACAATTGAGCTTAACTGCCGAGTCGAGAAAGTCAATGTCTCGCGTATTAGTTCGACATCTCATCCGATTCAGATCGAAGTTGGCCAGGAGAATGTCTATATCCTCGAACTCGCACAACGAAACACCCATCTAGATCGAGACATTTTGATAGATATTGATTTAATTAGTGATCGTTCGAATACAATTGTCGCGGTAGAACCAGGTGCTGCTATGGCTTCGTTTACACCAATAGAAGAAGATTGCCAACGTGCAATGAACAATTTGGAGACGACCAATGAATTTATATTTGTTATCGACTGTAGTGGATCGATGGAAGATGAAAACAAAATTGGCTTGGCACGTGAAGCTTTGTTACTCTTTCTCAAGAGTCTTCCAGTAGATTGCCATTTTAATATCATTCGATTTGGATCAAAACAAAAAGCATTATTCAATGAGATTACTGCTATTTACAATGAACAAAATGCTAAAAAGGCTGAACAACTTATCGATCAGTTAGAAGCTGATTTAGGTGGTACTAAATTGGTTAGTTTCATGAATTTTCTTTCTAATCACTCATTGTTTACTTCTATTCTAGTTAGGTCCACTTCTATGGTTAGAAGAACATTCTCCAAAAGAAGGTCGCGCACGACAGATATTTTTGTTGACCGATGGAGAAATTGAGAATGCCAGTCAAGTATTAGATTTGTGTCGTTCAATGGCCACTTCTACTCGAATCTTTTCATTTGGTTTGGGTCATTTACCAAGTCGTGCATTGGTCAAAGGCGTTGCTCGGGCTAAAAATGGACGATTTGTTTTTATTCCGCCTAACAGTAGTGTCGACTTTTATGTTGGTGAACAACTACAAAAAGCTTTACAATCTTGTATCACGAACGTCCAAGTGAAATGGAATCTTGGTACCAATGTTATGAGTGCACCTAGTAAAATGCCCCCAGCTTATGCTAATGATCGTTTGATTGCTTATGCGCTTGCTGATGATTCAATATTTGTTTTCGATCATGATTCGCGTGTCGAATTATATACCGACAAAAATCGATTGGGTGAAGCAATAATTGATTCGATACCGAAAGTCAGTGTCGATGGAACGATTGCTCGAGTCGCTGCTAAAGCACTCATTCTTGAATTACAACATTGAAAACTATCCTCATCGGTCAAACAGAAGGTTACTGGTTCTCTACAAAGTCGATTTCAGAAAGATGATGTATCGATATCGCCAATAACGATGGTTGACGAGAAAGAAATGACTAAGAAACGCATTATTGAACTTTCACTCAAATATCACATTTTGAGTCCGCACACTGCTTTTATTGGTGTTGAAAAGCGGATGAATACGAACAATGACGATATGGTCTTGAGAGAATTACCAATTCAAATATCAGCTGATGATGAACGTTTACTGGCGACACCGCAGTTTATGAATCTTTCTGCGTGTTGCATCTCACCTCCGAAGCAATACTGTATGATGGAAACGTATTCGCTGAATTCAAACATAACAACGATGAACTGGGGTTACATGAAGATGGCTGAAGTCGATTCATATTCAGATGATGACTGTTTCAAAGCAGCAACAGAAGATTATGCTGTGATGAAAAAGTTTTGCAAGTCCATTTCGTCCAGTTCTTCTTCCAATTCAGACATGTCTTCGCTACGCCAGCAGCATTCGATTATTGAAGAAAAAGATGATAAGTGGCCTACAGGGGATCAAAATATTGTTCGCTATTTGATCAAGAAACAAAAATTTGATGGTTTATGGGATATCGATGCCGAAAATATAGAACATTTGACTGGAAAACCACTGTCAAACTTCTCATCATTTAATAACCAGTCAACACTTATTTCGGCTATTGTCTTTGTCGTATTTGAGAGACGTTTCGCTACAATGTCAGCAATGTGGCATGGTGTAGCACAAAAAGCTCGTAAACGTCTTCTTGATTTACTTGGCAAAGATGCCAAACAACTCGAATCATTACTGGAGGACATTCGTCAACAACTTTGAATATGGTCAATCTGCTATAATTATTTATCTGTAGAGTCAGAAGAAAAATAAAAATATTCTATCCGCTGAGAAAAAGTAAAAACGAAGAACTATCTTTGTTAAATATCGATTTTCAGCGAACTTCGTAATAGTCTGGCTGGTGATATATCTAAGGACCATGCCACAAAAATCTGTGACGGTTTTCAATATGTTGTTCTGTCGTTCAACTCGTTCACATAAACGAACAGCAAATTAGTTCTCTTTCATCATTTCATTTTCAGCCTCGAAATTTTACTTTTGGCGCATCTCATCTGTTTTCTATAGGTCAAAAGCCGCTGATTTTTAGATCGATTTCTTTTTCTCAATCGGATTACTAAAAAGAATGTTTCATGATCTGCGTAGGTGTTGGTACAGATGTGGGGTGAGAGCATGGACTGTGGGTGTGTCGCTGTGGATTCAAAGCATATTCACACCCACTCGCGTTCATAAATGAGTTTTCGAACATAGATTGATTACAATTTAGATCATTTATCATAGAGATCGTTCACAGGATGTGGATGTGGCAGTGGGTGAGTACAGGACTAATATCCACACTCACACCCACACCCACCCTCAAGGATATGATCATTTTCTATTTTTTATTTAGAATTTATTATTCACTATATACGCACATCTGCTCTACCAATTCATCATCATCATCATCCTCTTCCCCCCTCCACCAACTCTAATTGTTGCTCCCCCACATACTTTAACAAATGGATATAATATGCCTGGTTTTCATCCTCATTCAGCGGCACCATATGCATCAACATCAACATTCATTGCTCATCATCAAACAGCTACTCAACCAATATCAAGAGCTCTTTCAGAAAAGGAATTTTTTATAAAACAACTTTATTCCCAACTCATGTGGAAATTTATTTTTATGTGCAGATAAAAAGAAGGGTGTGGGTGTATGTGGGGTGAGCATGTTGGTGTGTCTTTTCTTCATTCAAACCCACACACCAAATAGAGTGATTTCCAATTATTTTAAATGAAACTCTTGCATCATGACCATAGGTTAGACGCAAATATGATGATTCAATATCTGAAAATGCAAAAACCGATCATAGTGTTAATGTGATAAAATCTCTTGTTAAACAACAAGAGAATATTGCTGAGGAATTACATTTATGACGTAAGAGTAACGAGAAAACTCAAAAATTAACTAGTATACTAATTAATGCTAATAAAGTAAGGCTTCTTAGTTTTGAATTCTTGTGTGATTTTATTTTTGATTGAATCTCGTAGTAAACAACCAACCATCTCATTTAACAGCTTTTGTAAGCTAATTACCATAATAATGCAAATCTCTTTCAATTTCCTCCTGCTCTAGATACGTAATGAAGAAAATTTGTTCGTCTCACCATCCCCTTCGTCATCCATCATGTCAATTATTTGTAAGTTAATTCGTAAATTATATACATGTGAAGAAATGGAAAAGTATACTGTTCGACTAGCAGAATGAATGACTTCTTTTTTTATAGAAGCCATGATGACAGCTTTTTTCACGGAAGAGTCAGAAAAATTCGACATTTTCTGGAATACAATCATCAACAAGCATTTAAACAGCCAAAAGCAAACTGCTCGAAGTAGAACCAGAAAAGCTAGGTAAGTATGTGGTTCTTCTCGCTCCAATATTATTGTTGTTCACCTAATATTTCGTAAATCTTATTTTTGACCTAGTACCTATCAAACATTTCAAACGATTGGCTCTACTATTGAAAAAACTCATCAAATATACAGTCAAGAACAAGTCGATCATCACTACCAGTAGTCTCTTTTTTTGATTCATATTTATTCTTTTTCAACAGCGTATTAGTGGAACCAATTATAAACTTTGTTTTTTTTTCATATAGAAATAAGACAGAGGCTATCTTATAAAACTATTAAATTGGTTTGTAAGTTTATTTGTGATATAGTCACAATTACACGAACAAGATAAAAAGAATGAAGGTTGAACAATTTTTCCACCGTTTACTCTCAGCATAGATTATGTTCAAACGGCCATATAATTATTCGACTTTGATTTGTGAAGTTTGTTGAACAGATTATTTGTGTTTTTATTTCACAACTACTGAATTACGAAGACCAGTAGAAGACACAATTTTTTTTATCTTGTTCATTTTGTTTACTATTATGTAAAAGACAGAAAAAATGTAACTTTTATTTGCTTGTAAGTCAATCGTACACATTCTCTCGCAAAATTTCTTTGTTCAGTGACACAATTTTTCTTTTTTTTTGTTAAAAAGTTCTGGTTGATTTGTATAAGCATGTTGAACTATTTTTCTTATGTAGACCCTGATTTTTGTGAAACAGTTACACTAATGTGCCTTTATACGCATTACTCTTTTTCTATGTGAATCGTACTGTTTCGTTGTATTTTTTTTTTGTTAGTTGTTTATTTGGCTTCACATAGTTTATGTTAAGAATTAATTGTAACGAAAGAAAATTGAAAATAAAATAATATATACTGAGAAATTGATTCAATAGAAAAGCATCTATAGTATCATACATAAACCAATAGGAAGGCAAATAGAGAACGCATGTCACTTTCAGTGCATGCAAATTATGTGCTTGTGCCACGCTTCGTTCGTATGATGTTGCACTGAGTGTGCATAGCCGAGCATCTTGTACGTGATGCGCATGGTTATTCTGTACATCACGCGTATTAATCGTGTATGCACGTGCATGGATAGTGCACTATCTGACTTGAGTATATATTTTCGCAGAATATAGATACAGTATTTGAGAAATTCTTTTCTTTCTTACAACATTTTCTTCGTGCAAAGCTTTTTTCAAGTCTATATCATGCATTCGTATTTCTTCGTGAGCATCATTCTATTCAAGTTTCCCAATTTTTTTTTCTTCAATTAGAAATAGCGTTGTTCTGTTGTTTCTTATCCTAGACATCAACAGAGAAAAGAAAGTATAATGACGTAATTCATGATGATGATAACAAATGACATCAATTGCGAATAAAAAGATGGAACTATTTTTTTTAGTATATAGTTGTTCCTCTAGTAATTTTTTATTTGAATTAATTTTTCTTTATGACAAAATCCAAACTCTATATTCCATCATTGCTCAAGGTTTGCATTAGAGATCAAATGAATTGCAATAGAACGTCCAAGCATCTTGAATTAGGACTTCGATCAATAGGAAGACTGATTCTATTTCCGTCTCTGTTCTTGGTTACGCTACTATGTCATACATGTAGGAAATTGCAGATAATAATCTTATCTGTTCTAAAATGGATATTATTACCATGTGAAATTTTGTATTTCTTTTGTTGTTATAGATATGTCTTAAAACAAAATGTATAATAGTGAACAAACTGATGATAAAGTTTCTGATAATGATTTACAGAAACCAAATATTTATAATCAATATTTGCCATATTATGAATCAATTAAACGGCAACGTTTAGAATCATTTAAAGAAATCTGTGAAAATCTTTCACGTCTTATTCAATCACAAGAATTACAACCTGGTTTTCCACTTTGGTCATCTAGACTACAAAATTTTATTTCACTTTATGGTTTTTCTTTTACTAAAACCAATCATATAAAATTGATCAATTTCTATTTATCAATTCTTTCTATTAAAAATTTAAATTATGCCAGTGCAAATATATGTTTTGATACATTGACTCAGCTTACACGGTCCGTATTAATGTCTTTTTTCAGATGATTACTTAATCTAAAATGTAGTTCATATGATTTTTCCATTCTAGAAGAACACGTATGATTACAAGAAATGATCTTATTATCGATTGGAGAATATTTTATGTATGGTCAAAACTTGTTCTTTTCAATCATGATGAATCTTATTCACTTGTTTCTATTTCCAAGTATGTATTTGAATTAGTTTGATAATAAAAGAATGTTTTTTTTGTATTTAGACATATTGTAAATTCATTCGTATTTTGTGTACGTAATTGTCGTCCTTATTTTTCAGTAACAGCTACTCAAGAAATTCTTGATGAATTTCGGCCATATTTGTGTCCATTCGATACAGTCTGTAGAGATGTTATAGGTTATTTGGATATGTTCTTACCTGTTCATTTACCACCTGAATTACATCATCAAGGATGCAAGTAAGATAATTATGAAGATTTTTGTTGTTGTTGTTGTTGTCTATTTGTGTGTTATTTTAGATTGTGGTTATCAGAATTTTTGGATATTTGGGAAACTGTTTATAATAATCCAACATGGGAGCAAGTGAGTTGAATTCTTATGATAATATAATTTATATTAACAAATATGTTTATATTTAGAATTTAATTAGTTTATTTTCTTTTGTTGCTTGGTGTAATATTGGATATATTGATTGGGAACCATGGCTTGCACGTGTAAAAATTTATTTTATTCAATTATTATTTTATTGATTGTTCTTATTGATTAGATTTTTACAAAAATATTAAAAAATTTTTCACTTCCTGTTGGTAATGTTGAATTAAAAAAATCAACAGAACATTATTCTATACCAGTTGTTGCTACATGGATCGTTGCTATGATGGGAAATCATAGTTCATGTATTAAATATTTACGAGATTTATTAAGTGCAATAAAAAATTTTTATCATCCATCAAATACTGGAGATTTTCAAACAGAACTTGTTAGTTTTCTTTCAATGCTTGCACAAGCATTTGTTGATCGAGTTTATTTGTAAGTAAATTACATTTATGAAATATCAATTATTACATATACCTTAGTTCTACACATATAGAGATGTTTCGATATCATCAGAATTGCGAAAGAGAAAGATCCTACGGTTAGAGACACTCCTATGAATATAGAAAGACATGTTCTTCTGTTTAAAAAAAAAAGACCTCAGTCGACTTTGCTCAATTCCACTCTGATTATTTAAATATGAAAAATAAACTGATGAGTAATGTCTACTTTCACTTCATATAATTTGGTAGAAAAAAAAAACATGAAGTCTGTTAGTTCGTCAACTCTGATATATTGTCTTTCAAAGTCGAGAAGTAATATTTTTAGTAGAACTAAGACGATTTTGATAAAGTTTATTATAGTAAAATCTTTAGATTTGTATTCTCTCAGATTATCAGATAAAGTTAAGAAGAAGATTAAAAATGACAAAATGTATTATTTGTGAATACATTTTCATATTATTCTCTGTAAATCTTAAATAGATTTATCTTTTAATGTTCAATTTTAGTAGATAGCTTAGTAGATATGAAATCATTCTACTGATTTAAATTCTCATGGAAGTAGTTATACTTAAACTTTTGAAAGTCGAACGCTTTCGAAAAGTGCAAACTTTTATATTATTGCTGTTTGTATATCGTTTTTTTCTTGTCTACGAATTTATTGTAGTGAACGTACAACTGATCCAGTTTGGTATTTTAATCCACCAGAATCTCATCGACTTCATGACGAAGATATTAATAATTTTGTTAATTGTCTGAAAGAATGTACATTTATATCTATATTCAATAAATATCATCTTGATTTAGCCGCTGAAACATGTCATTATCTTTCTCAACTTCGACCAGAACTCATTATTCCATCATTAGTTGAATTGTTTGTAGTTTTTTTATTTTATTTTTTTTAACTATTATTTTTCATTATTAAAATTTTAGACTCTTCTCTTCGATTGATAATATGACTGAACCATATCGTTTTACATCAATAATTACTTGTCTAACTGGTATGACTGGTCAAATTGTTCGTCAAACATTAAACTTTCCTCAAGGTCAAACATTTGTGTTACCATTATTAATATCGGTTTTACCTGGTATTGATGCAAATGATTTTAAAAAGACTTCAGTTACATTTCAATTTCTCAATGCTATTTTAATGCTTATTGCATGTGTTGATTGTTCATCTGCAGTTAATCAAAGAAATGATCTTACCGAAGTTAGAATAATCTTAATATAAATATAACACAAAAAAAAAATATATACATTATTCTTTTGATCATAGATTGAAAAAGAAGTTTGTTTATCAACAGCAAAATTCGAAGATTTTATTAGTGAATTTCTTAATCGAATATTTCAAATGATTGATACATTATCAACAGAAATATCTGATGCTTTCATAATAACAATTGATTCAAAAATGGAAAATCATCAAATTAATTTAGAATTAACATCTGTCATTTCATCTATTGTTCAACAGTGTAGTAAAAAAATTTTTCATGTATATTTTATAATTAAATATTTTACTTTTTTTTTGAATGAAATTCATTTTAGATGATTCGTGAAAAGATAACAAATTTTCTTGCAACATATTGTTTCTCCTAAAACAAGTAAACTTCTTATGGGTCTCATTCAAGCTATGTTAAAAAGTAATCCAATTGAAACATTAAATTATCTTTTACCACAAACATATGAATGTATTGAAAAAATTCTTAGTCAATCAAATATGATCATTTTAAATGATCATAAAGGTGATTCAGAATTAACATGGCATTTGATAATGTTCTCTGAACTTGTTTGTGCTCGTGGTGATACTTTAATCATATATAAATCAATGATTTTATCAATTTTTCATCAATGTATTCATATTATTCATAAAGATTCATATGAATCTATAGGAAAAGCTGCTCAAAATTTACTTAAATCATTAACATATGTTTATCCAATTGATTATCGATTGATAATTGAAAATATTGAAGAATCATTTAATGATTTTTTTTGCCTATTCGAGTATGAATGATTTGATTTGTTAAGTATTAGTTTATGTTTTTATATATTCTCTAGACATGGGGTCAATATGTTGAATATGATAAAATTAATGTTCAATTTCATGTTCCAAATGAAGAAGAAGTCGATTTTGCTTGTGAATTTGTTGAAACATTTATGTATCTTGAATTACAAATATTAAATGAAAAATGTACAGATATATCCAATGATGAACGATTACGATTACTTACTCTTATTCATCATATAGCTATTGGTTGTTTACGTATGGTTTCGCGTATTGAAAGTAAAGAAGTGAAAAATTTGTAACAATGAAATACTATATATTGAGATTTGTATCTAACTAAAATAAATGTATTTGATTTATTTTTTTAGTGTATCATCGGTTTCTTCGCATAGTTCGAAAGTTCAAGCTCAATATTCTCTTTATGCTAAAGAACCAAGTAAGTAAACTCGGAGTTAATAGAAAAACTTCAATAATGAAGTTTTCCTAAACTAATAGAATCTACTTTGTTTGTGGAAAAAGAAGTAGCACCTATAATTGGTTTTTATTTTTGTCGTGAGTATCATAAGAATATGAGAACACTACACAAGAACTTGGACCTTTTTAATATAGAAGTCATCATCAGAATTATTGTGTACTAGTGGTTCATAATTTTCAAAGATTTTATTAAAGTTTATCTAATACAATAAATTAAAAGATATTTTGAAGAATTTGTTGATACTGTATACAAGAATAATCAGTTGTAATATTATTTCAAAATAAATAAGATCTTTTGAGTGTTATTTTAATATAATCATATTACCGTACGTTTATAAAATTTTTAACAACCAAATAATATTTTCTGGTTGAACCAGGTGAAGGTTCGCAAAGTTGAACGTACGTAGAATTCTGGTCTTATTTTCTAGAAATGTTGAAAGAATTCATACGATTTCTAGGCTGATGTTCAAGGAAGCTTAAGAATATTTGTAATTTTTAGAATTTAAAGAAAATCTTCGAATGCGTCTTCTGATCGATATTGGAAATTTCATTGGTAAGATTTTCATTAGTCTAAAATAAATCAATCATAAAAAAAATTTACTTCGATGGAGTTTTGTTTTGTAATATTACTAGATCATCTTATTGCGTATCATTCCGATGATGCTTCATCGATTAAAATAGCTCTTAAAGTAATTAAAGAGTTTATTTTTAATAAATAATAATAATTATTATTTTTAAAACTATTCTAATTTAAAGATTTATTCTCTTTCATCAATGTACTACGGTATATTTGAACAAAACATAAATAAATTATTCAGTGATTTAAATACTATTAAACATTTATATAAAAATAAATTATACGATACACAACAATATCCTCGATTTGTCATCATACAACGTATAGCAATACAAATTGAAATAATCGATTTTTGTTAGACAAAAACAAAAAAGAGAAAATAATTTTTATCTATTGTTAATAGTTATTCTCATTGATTAATTTTCGAACATTGACTGAAATTGATCAACAAGTTATACGTAAACTATTTGAATTATCTATTCATCGATACAGTGAGGTAAGTTTAACATTTCCAAAAAGAAGTGTTGAAATATAAAAGTACTTCCACCCACAGACATAATCATGGAAACATGTCAGTATAGGAATTATGTAGAGTCCTGCGGAATAGTCCCGAAAATTTTCTGAGAGGAACATTCGGGACTTTCTTTAAAATTTTCGGAACAGTAGAAAAGTTTGTTCTGCAGGACTCTAGAATTATGCTAACATCTATTCTTTTTTTTATATTAAAGGTTCGTCGTCAAGCACAAAGTTATTTATTTACAATGCTCTCGCGTTTTTATTTATTATATCGAATAATTCTTGATCGTATTATTGAATTATTGACTAAATCTGATGAAGTTGATCATGATGAAATTAAAGGTTGTTTATATATATTTCTTGGAAATGAAACAATTTTTCTACCGACTAAACATTCATGGACAGTACTCGAAAAACTATGGCCTGCAATTTCATGTACAAAACATGCAATAAAACTTAGTACACAAAATTTAATTAATTGTATTATGGAAAAAATTTATAAACGTTTTAATACTGTTGCAATTATTGAAAATACAAACGAAATTTCAAAACAAGCTGCTATTAGTTTATGGCGTTCATTAGAAAAACATGAATTTGAATTATATAATCGAATATATGAAGAAAGAATTGAAGGAAATATTCGTTCATATAATAATCTAATGGAAAAATTAATTTCATTATTGTATAATAATGTATTGTAAGTGTCTTTTTTTTTCATTTTGAATAATAATAATTTATTACTTTTGATTTTTAGAACTGATCGACAACAAATCCTAATAATGGCATTTATTCCATTTCTTTTACAAAGACAAATTCAAATTCCATTATCATGTATTCGAATTCTTGTAGATTTTCTTATTCATGAAAATCTTGATATACGAAAGGTTTGTTTATACGGTTTATTAGGAAAGAAAAAAAAAAGAAAATTATATTTTGGAATAGGAAGAAGTGGAACCGTCGAATAATGCTTCTAGAAGAAGTTCTAATTCCCTGTTCGATAGGAATTTTCTCGTTCAAAAGATTAGAATAGTAAATTATTTAAAGTTACACTTTATCTACTTACAATAAAATATTACTAATGCAATTTAACTGTTATCTAATCAACGAAGAAAAACGATCGAATAAATATCTTCTTAGCATTATTCTCATAAATTCTTATTATCCATTAAAACTTTTTGTTTTTCATATTCTCAGATAGCCGAACAATGTATATCGACATTATGTCGTATACAAAAACCACCGAGGATTTATCTTGAAAAATCACTTCATGATATATTTTATCAAATAAAGAAATCATGTCCTGATGAAGCATTTTCTTGTCCAGGTGATCGTGATGATAATTTATGGATTACACTAAATAATTATCAACCACCTAAAACTCAAATTGAATGGGAACAAACATGTTTTTTAGATAAATCTTTTCATCGATATTATAAATGGCCAAAAGTAATCAAATATCCAATGAATAAACGTGAACGTTATACAAAAAACACAATGCCTGAAGATGTTGCAATTTTATATAATCGATTTATGGATAAAATTTTTATTACTCAACTTATACAATATATGGTAATTACAGATGAAAGCAATGAATTGAATTTTAATATACATCGATTTCGAATGTTTAAAGTACAGAATAATTTTCAAAGAAAAAAAACAATTTCAACATTCTATATAAACATATTTCTATTTTTTTTAGGGTCTTTTTCGAAATTTTGGTTTCGATTTAATGAATCATTTTATGGAACAATTAGATATTTTGATTCATGAAAACATAACAGAAAAACAAGAAGGTTGTCATCGAGTAGCAGCTGAAATTGTTGCTGGAATGATTCGAGGTTCAAAATATTGGACATTAGAAATGGTTTTTTCTGTTTTATTGAAAAAGATGAATTTATTCTCTTAAATAAAATTTATTTTTTATTTATTCTAGCTTGAAAAATTATGGCAAAAATTAATTCCATTTCTTAATGAAGTCTGTACAAATCTTACTTCTGAAACTTTATCATGTTGGGGTTCATGTTTTAAATTTAGCATGGTGTGTTTAAATAACAAGTTTTTTTTTTATAAGTCAATAATTTTCTCTATCTTATAGGAAGATTTAGATCCTCGTCGAATGTATCGTCTTATTGAATTTATTCGTACTTTAATAAATAATCAAACAACAGAAAATACACTTCTTGAAACATCACGTTGGTTTTTAGTTTTAAAATTAACTAATTTTGAATGGCGTATACCAGCTATATGGTGTGAAATCAATGAACATGCGAAAGAAATGCTTGATCATCCATATAAAGCTGTTCGAGAAGGGGAAATATACCGTCGCCAATCTTCCTTTTCGCCAATTGTATTTTTCGCCAACTGGTGAATATCAACTAGCTTTTCGCCAATTGACGAATTTCGTGGGGAATTTCACCAATCGGCGAATANTATTCTCCTAAAACAAGTAAACTTCTTACGGGTCTCATTCAAGCTATGTTAAAAAGTCATCCAGTTGAAACATTAAATTATCTTTTACCGCAAACATATGAACGTATTGAAAAAATTCTTAGTCAATCCGATATGATTATTTTAAATGATCATAAAGGTGATTCAGAATTAACATGGCGTTTGATACTTTTCTCTGAACTTGCTTGTGCTCGTGGTGATACTTTAATCATTTATAAATCAATGATTTTATCAATTTTTCATCGATGTATTCATATTATTCATAAAGATTCATATGAATCTATAGCAAAAGCTGCTCAAAATTTACTTAAATCATTAACATATGTTTATCCAATTGATTATCGATTGACAGTTGAAAATATTGAAGAACCATTTACTGATTTTTTACCTATTCGAGTATGAATGATTTGATTTGTTAAGTATGAATCGATCTATTTATATTTTTCTAGGCATGGGGTCAATATGTTGAATATGATAAAATTAATGTTCAATTTCATGTTCCAAATGAAGAAGAAGTCGATTTTGCTTGTGAATTTGTTGAAACATTTATGTATCTTGAAGTGCAAATGTTAAATGAAAAATGCACAAACATGTCCAATGATGAACGATTACGATCACTTACTCTTATTCATCATATAGCTATTGGTTGTTTACGTATGGTTCCTCGTATTGAAAGTAAAAAAGTGAAAAATCTGTAAGTAACAATGAAATACTATATATACATTTATATCTAAAAAAAAAATAAATGTATTTTATTTATTTCTCAGTGTATCATCGGTTTCTTCGTGTGATTCAAAAGTTCAAGCTCAATATTTTCTTTATGCTAAAGAGCCAAGTAAGTAAATTAGTAGTTAATAAAAAAATTCCAACGATGAAGTTTTCCGAAACTAATGGAATACGCTTAATTTGTGAGAAAATAAGTGGCATCTATAATTGTTTTTTTTTTGCTTTGTTCTAAGTATCATAAGAATATGAGAACACTAAACCAGAACTTGAATGTTGTTAGTTTTAGCAAGGAAAAAATAAATCAAGCGTTGATTATTGCACTTTTTCGACAGACATAGTCTCGAACGAATATAGAAAATAGGTTTCATTCGAACGTGTTCTATTTGAAGAATATAAGTGTTAACAATGATATTACTTCATATTTTTATTTCAAAACATTTCTATCAATACGATATAGAAGTCATTCTTGGAATTATTGTGTATTAGTGGTTGATAATTTTCAGAAATTTTATTACAGTTCATCTACAATAGATCTAAAGAAGTTTTGAAGGATTTATTGATACTGTATACAAGAATAATCAATTGTAATATTGTTTTAAAACAAATAAGATCTTTTGAATGTTATTTTAATATATCATATTGCCGTACGTTTATAAAATTTTTAACAATTAAATAATATTTTTCGGTCGAACTGGGTACAGGTTCCAAGTTCAAGAAAGTTTAACAATATATGTACGTTTTTTTTTAGAATTTAAAGAGAATCTTCGAATGCGTCTTCTTATCGATATTGGAAATTTCATTGGTAAGATTTTCATTAGTCTAAACTAAATCAGTCATAAAAAATTCACTTCGATGAATTTTTTTTTAATGTTACTAGATCATCTTATTGCATATCATTCAGACGATGCTTCGTCGATTAAAATAGCTCTTAAAGTAATTAAAGAGTTTTTTTAATAAATTTGTTTTTTTTTTTTTGACTATTTTAATTTAAAGATTTATTCTCTGTCGTCAATGTACTACGGTATATTCGAGCAAAACATAAACAAATTATACTGTGATTTAAATACTATTAAACATTTATATAAAAATAAATTATACAATACACAACAACATCCTCGATTTGTCATAATACAACGTATAGCAATACAAATTGAAGTAATCGATTTTTGTTAGACAAAAAAAAGAAAAAATAATTTTTATCCATTGTTGATAGTTATTCTCATTGATTAATTTTCGAACATTGACTGAAATCGATCAACAAGTTATATGTAAACTATTTGAATTATCTATTCATCGATACAGTGAAGTAAGTTGAACATTTATCGACTTATTCTTTTATAAAACACGATTGAAAAGTGTTATGCACAGAGTGTTTCCCTCTGTACATAAGACGAAGATAAGATCTCTCTTCTAGTCTAACTGACTTAGGACATTTGCCCGGATAGCAGAAGATACGTGGTTCGAGTCCCATGAAGAGTATCTTTTTCTTCGTTCTATGGTCGTTCTAACTCGCTGCATTGTTGAAAAATTAAGTAAACCAAAGAAATTGCGCTAACATCTAGTTTGTTTAATATTAAAGGTCCGTCGTCAAGCACAAAGTTATTTATTTACAATGCTCTCACGTTTTTTCTTATCATATCAAATAATTCTTGATCGCATTATTGAATTACTGACTAAATCTGATGAAGTTGATCATGATGAAATTAAAGGTTGTTTGTATATACTTCTTGGAAATGAAACAATTTTTCTACCGACTAAACATTCATGGACAGTACTCGAAAAATTATGGCCAGTAATTGCATGTACAAAACATGCAATAAAACTTAGTACACAAAATTTAATCAATTGTATTATGGAAAAAATTTATAAACGTTTTAATACTGTTGCAATTATTGAAAATACAAACGAAATTTCAAAACAAGCCGCTATTAATTTATGGCGTTCATTAGAAAAACATGAACTAGAATTATATAATCGAATACATGAAGAAAGAATTGAAGGAAACATTCATTCATATAATAATCTAATGGAAAAATTAACTTCATTATTTTATAATAATGTATTGTAAGTTTTTTTTTGTTTTGTTTTTTATTTTGAATAATTTTGTTGTTTATTACTGTGATGTTTAGAACTTGTCGACAACAAATCATAACAATGACATTTATTTTAATTCTTTTTCAAAAACAAGTTCAAATTCCATTATCATGTATTCGAATTCTTGTAGATTTTCTTGTTCATGAAAATATGGATATACGAGAGGTTTGTTTAGTATATTTAACAAACAATTTACTTTCATGTTACAAGAGAATTAAAAAACAAGAGATACTCTTTTTCTAGAATAAAATTGAATATACATACGATTTATTAGAAAAAAAAAAGAAAATCATATTTTGGAATAGGAAAGAGTGGATACCTTCTGGTAATGCTTCTAGAGGAGGTTCTAGTTCCCTGTTCGATCATGTCACTAGTTCGATAGGAATTTTCTCGTTCAAAAGATCAGAAAAGCAAATTATTCTAAAGTATTGTAAACTCATGATACTTTATTTCTTTCATTGAAGGTTTCATATTTAGTATAATGATCAGGTTAAATATGTAAAGCTTCTGCTTGCGATGAAATAGTACTAATGAAATTTAAGTGTTAGATAATGAGAGAAGAAGAAGGGTGGAATAAATATCTTCTTATCATTATTCTCATAAACTCTGATTATCAATTAAAAATTTTGTTTTATTTAGATAGCCGAGCAATGTGTATCGGCATTATGCCGTATACAAAAACCACCGAGGATTTATCTTGAAAAATCAGTTCATGATATATTCTACCATATAAAGAAACCATGTCCCGATGAAGTATTTTCTTGTCCAGGTGATCGTGATGATAATTTATGGATTACACTGAATGATTATCAACCACCTAACACCCAAATTGAATGGGAACAAACATGTTTTTTAGATAAATGTTTTCATGGATATTATAAATGGCCAAAAGTACTTAAATATCCAATGAATAAACGTGAACGTTATACAAAAGAAACAATGCCTGAACATGTTGCAATTCTATATAATCGATTTATGGATAAAAATTTTGTTACTAAACTTATACAATACATGATGCTTGCTGATGAAAAAAATGAATTGAATTTTAATATACATCGATTTCGAATGTTTAAAGTACAGAATAATTTTCAAAGAAAAAAAAAATCTCAACATTCTATATTGAACATATTTTTATTTTTCTAGGGTCTTTTTCGAAATTTTGGTATCGATTTAATGGATCATTTTATGGAACAATTAGATATTTTGATTCATGAAAAAACGATAGAAAAACAAGAAGGTTGTCATCGAGTAGCTGCTGAAATTGTTGCTGGAATGATTCGAGGCTCAAAATATTGGACATTGGAAATGGTTTGTATTTCAAAAAAAAAAAATAAAGAATTTATTTATAAACAAAAACTTATTCGATTTATTATAGCTTAAGAAATTATGGCAAAAATTAATTCCATTTCTTAATGAAGTCTGTACAAATCTTAGTCCTGAAACTTTATTATGTTGGGGTTCATGTTTTAAATATGGCATGGTGTGTTTAAATAATAGTTTCTTTTTTTTCTATAAGTCAATCATTTTCTCTATCTTATAGGAAGATTTAGATCCTCGTCGAATGTATCGTCTTATTGAATTTATTTGTACTTTAATAAATAATCAAACAATAGTAAATACATTTCTTGAAACATCACGTTGGTTTTTAGTTTTAAAATTAACGAATTTTGAATGGCGTATACCAGCTATATGGTGTACAATTAATGAACATGCGAAAGAAATGCTTGATCATCCATATAAAGCTATTCGAGAATATATTGCTAAGTAAAAGAAAATAAATATTATTTTCTAATAAATGAAAATCAATTTTCTTTTTTGTTTTTGAATAGTGTTTTATCAGTATCACTTAGTTTCGATGTTAAATTACCCAATGGTCAATCGACACGTAATCCCGATGCAAATCGTTGTATTGATACTATTTGCGAACGATTACATCAAGCGATAGAAACTTATCGAAAAAAGCCACTAGGTAAAAATTCTACTAAACATTAATGTAAATTTTTTTGTCATATAATCCATTTATTNAGAAATGATCTTACCGAAGTTAGAATAATTGTAATATAAATATAAAATAGATTATTTCTTCTTTTTCTTTTGATCATAGATTGAAAAAGAAGTTTGTTTATCAACAGCAAAATTTGAAGATTTTATTAGTGAACTTCTTAATCGAATATTTCAAATGATTGATACATTATCAACAGAAATATCTGATGCTTTAATAATATCAATTGATTCAAAAATGGAAGATCATCAAATTGGTTTAGAATTAACATCCGTCGTTTCATGTATTGTTCAACAATGTAGTAAAAAAACTTTTCACGTATGTCTTATAATTAAATATTTTAATTATTTGAATAGAATAAAATTTATTTTAGATAGTTCGTGAAAAGATAACAAATTTTCTTGCAACATATTGTTATTCTCCTAAAACAAGTAAACTTCTTACGGGTCTTATTCAGGCTTTGTTAAAAAGTAATCCAATTGAAACATTAAATTATCTATTACCACAAACATATGAACGTATTGAAAAAATTCTTAGTCAATCCGATATGGTCATTTTAAATGATCATAAAGGTGATTCAGAATTAACATGGCGTTTGATACTATTCTCTGAACTTGTTTGTGCTCGTGGTGATACTTTAATCAATTATAAATCAATGATTTTAACAATTTTTCATCGATGTATTCATATTATTCATAAAGATTCATATGAATCTATGGGAAAAGCAGCTAAAAATTTACTTAAATCATTAACATATGTTTATCCAATTGATTATCGATTGACAGTTGAAAATATTGAAGAACCATTTACTGATTTTTTACCTATTCGAGTATGAAAATATTTAATGTGTGTTAAGTATTAATTGATCTTTTTATGTTCTCTAGACATGGGGTCAACATGTTGAATATGATAAAATTAATGTTAAATTTCATGTTCCAAATGAAGAAGAAGTCGATTTTGCTTGTGAATTTGTTGAAACATTTATGTATCTGGAATTACAAATGTTAAATAAAAAATGTACAGACATGTCCAATGATGAACGATTACGATCACTTACACTTATTCATTATATAGCTATTGGTTGCTTACGTATGATTCCGCGTATTGAAAGTAAAGAAGTGAAAAATCTGTAAGTCACAATGGAATACTATATAAAGATTTATATTCAAATAAAATAAATGCATTTTATTTATTTCTTAGTGTATCATCAATTTCTCCGTATGGTTCAAAATTTCAAGCTCAATATTCTCTTTATGCTAAAGAACCAAGTAAATATACTAGAAGTTAATAGAAAAACTTCAACGATGAAATTTTTCGAAACTAATGAAATATACTTAGTTTGTAGGACAAGAAGCGGGACTTATAATTGTTTTTTTTGTTATTGTTGTTGTAAGTATCATAAGAACATGAGAGCAAAGAAAAAAAATTAAGTCTTGATCATAGCATTTTTCCGCCAGATATAGTCTCAGATGAACATAGAAAATAGGTTTCATTCGATCATGCTCTATTTGAAGAATATAATTGTTAACAATGGTATTACTTCCTATTTTTATTTTAAAACACTTCTATCAATACGATCTGAAAGTCATCCAAAATTTGAATGCCCGTAGGACTCTGATCTTAATTTCTAGAAATGTTCAAAGAAGTTTAAGAATATATGTATGTTTTTGTTTTTAGAATTTAAAGAAAATCTTCGAATGCGTCTTCTTATCGATATTGGAAATTTCATTGGTAAGATTTTCATTAATCTAAAATAAATCAGTTATCAAAAATTTTCTTCGATGATTTTTTTCTTATATTACTAGATCATCTTATTACATATCATTCAGACGATGCTTCATCGATTAAAATAGCTCTTAAAGTAATTAAAGATTTCTTTTTTTTTAATAATTTTTTTGGTTTGACTATTCTAATTTTTAAGATTTATTCTCTTTCATCAATGTACTACGGTATATTCGAACAAAACATAAACAAATTATTCAGTGATTTAAATACTATTAAATATTTATATAAAAATAAATTATGCTATAAACAACAACATCCTCGATTTGTCATAATACAACGTATAGCAATACAAATTGAAGTAATCGATTTTTGTTAGAAAACAAATATGAAAAAAATAATTTTTGTCTATTATTGATAGTTATTCTCAATGAGTAATTTTCGAACATTGACTGAAATTGATCAAAAAGTTATATGTAAACTATTTGAATTATCTATTTATCGATACAGTGAAGTAAGTTTAACATCTATCGACTTATTATTTTGTAAAAAATGATCGAAAAAGAGTATTGAAGTATAAAAGTGCTTCTACTCACAGATGTAACCATGGGTTGGTCTCGAACCCTATATATATTTATATGTGTAATTATTTTCTTGTTGCATTGCTGAAAAATTAAGTAAATCATAGGAATTACACTAATAGGTATTTTTTATATTAAAGGTTCGTCGTCAAGCACAAACTTATTTGTTTACAATGCTCTCGCGTTTTTTCTTTTCACATCAATTAATTCTTGATCGTATTATTGAATTACTGACTAAATCAAATGAAGTTGATCATGATGAAATTAAAGGTTGTTTGTATATACTTCTTGGAAATGAAACAATTTTTCTACCGGCTAAACATTCATGGGCAATACTCGAAAAATTATGGCCAGCAATTGCATGTACAAAGCATGCAATAAAACTTAGTACACAAAATTTAATCAATTGTATTATGGAAAAAATTAATAAACGTTTTAATACGGTAGCAATTATTGAAAATACAAACGAAATTTCAAAACAAGCTGCTATTGATTTATGGCGTTCATTAGAAAAACATGAATTAGAATTATATAATCGAATGCATGAAGAAAGAATTGAATCAAATATTCGTTCATATAATAATCTAATGGAAAAATTAACTTCATTATATTATAATAATGTATTGTAGGTTTTTTTCTTTTTCATTTTGAATAATTATAGTTTATTACATTGATGTTTAGAACTTGTCGACAACAAATCATAATAATGACATTTATTTTATTTCTTTTTCAAAAACAAGTTCAAATTCCATTATCATGTATTCGAATTCTTGTAGATTTTCTTGTTCATGAAAATATTGATATACGAAAGGTTTGTTTAGGATATTTAACAAATAATTTACTTTCATGTCACAAGAGAATTAAAATACAATAGATACTCTTTTTCTAGAATAAAATTAAATATTATTTTGAAATAAAAAGGAATCATTCAAAAAATCAGAGAAACAAATTATTCTAAAGTATTGCAAATTCATGGTTGTTTATTTCTTTCATTGAAAGGATTTCATATTTCTTATTATGATCAAGTTAAATAAGTAAAGCATCTGTTTGAGATGAAATAGTACTAATACAATTTAACTCTTACCTAATCAACGAAGAAGAACAATCGAATAAATATCTTCTCATCATTATTTTCATAAACTCTTATTATTAATTGAAAAATTTTCTTTTATTTAGATATCCGAACAATGTATATCGGCATTATGCCGTATACAAAAACCACCGATAATTTATATTGAAAAATCACTTCATGATATATTCTTTCATATAAAGAAACCATGTCCCGAAGATATAGTTTCTTGTCCAGGTGATCGTGATGATAATTTATGGATTACACTAAATGATTATCAACCACCTAAAACTCAAATTGAATGGGAACAAACATGTTTTTTAGATAAATGTTTTCATGGATATTATAAATGGCCAAAAGTAATTAAATATCCAATGAATAAACGTGAACGTTATACAAAAGAAACAATGCCTGAACATGTTGCAATTCTATATAAACGATTTATGGATAAAAATTTTATTAGTAAACTTATACAATATATGGTGATTACAGATGAAAGAAATCAATCGAATTTTAATGTACATCGATTTCGAATGTTTAAAGTAGAGAATAATTTTCAACGAAAAAAAAAAACTTAACTTTCTAGATAAACATATTTCTATTTTCTAGGGACTTTTTCGAAATTTTGGATTTGATTTAGTGGATCATTTTATGGAACAATTAGATATTTTGATTCATGAAAAAATGACAGAAAAACAAGAAGGTTGTCATCGAGTAGCAGCTGAAATTGTTGCTGGAATGATTCGAGGTTCAAAACATTGGACATTAGAAATGGTTTATATTTAAAAAATGAATTTATTTATAAACAAAAATCTATTCGATTTATTTTAGCTTGAGAAATTATGGCAAAAATTAATTCCATTTCTTAATGAAGTCTGTACAAATCTTAGTCCTGAAACTTTATCACGTTGGGGTTCATGTTTTAAATTTGCCATGGTGTGTTTAAATAATAGTTTCTTGTTTTTTTATAAGTCAATAATTTTCTCTATCTTATAGGAAGATTTAGATCCTCGTCGATTACATCATCTTATTGAATTTATTCGTACTTTAATAAATAATCAAACAACAGTAAATACATTTCTTGAAACATCACGTTGGTTTTTAATTTTAAAATTAACTCATTTTGAATGGCGTATACCAGCTATATGGTGTGCAATTAATGAACATGCGAAAGAAATGCTTGATCATCCATATAAAGCTGTTCGAGAACATATTGCTAAGTAAAAGAAAATAAATATTATGTAGTATAAATAAATGAAAATTCATTTTCTTTTTTCAAATAGTGTTTTATCAGTATCACTTAGTTTCGATGTTAAATTACCCAATGGTCAATCGACACGTAATCCCGATGCAAATCATTGTATTGATACTATTTGCGAACGATTACATCAAGCAATAGAAACTTATCGAAAAAAGCCACTAGGTAAAAATTCTACTAAAAATTAATGTAAATTTTTTTCTCATATAGTCCATTTATTAATTTCAGCTTGAAATGAAGAAAAATAGTTCTTATCAATTTTCTCTATTTCTGTATGAAAATTTAGTTTTCTTCTCAAATTAAAAAAGATCGTTCGATGTCATATTTTGGCTATGTGTAAAACATTATGAAACTAAGAAAATCCTAATTGAATTTAGACTCATGTGTTATCCAGCTAGAGTCATGACCGTTTTCTTTTTAGTTTCTGATCAGCTATTCATTCATAAATGAGTCTTACGGCTACTAGAATATCATAAACATTTCAGCTTAAACGAATGAATTCTTCTCAGGATGCTGAATATGTAAGACAAATCGATTGCAGTGCTTGCTTCTTTATGATGTACAAGTATTCGTTGGATGCTCGATATCCTAAGAATAATATATGGATATGCGTTTCTATCTTTAGAATATTCTAGTACCCATAATATTTATCTATATATGAACAGCTGGTCTAGAACCAACTGTAGCTGGGTAATGCATAAACTCTGAACTCTACTCATAGCCGATATTTACTTATCAATTTTGAGATTTCAAAGATCAGGTATTATACATTAATATGTAAATTATTTTTTGGAATATTATCGATATGAAACGTTATCTAATAATCATTTGAAACTATTTGTCTTTTATAGCGAATATTTCTGGAGAAAAGATCGAAATAAATCAAGAAGCACGTAAAGCTCTTAATTGTATTGAAACAGGTAATACCCAAAAAGAAACAAAATTTGTAAATTACATTATTTCATTCAGTGATTCTATTTCATACGCGTATATTTATGTGGTGTTTACAACCAATGAAAAGTGCAATTGTTCGAATATTTCCATATGTATGTTCTACTTAAATATAAAAATATCAATTTAAAAAGTGCATATCTTCTTTTTTTTGTAAGCTTTGTGAATTAGAAAGTATTGTTTCAAATGAAAATTTAACAACCAGTCGAATGCTTGTGGCTATGACTTATTTAAATACACCTTTTCTTGAATCATTGATTGAACAATTAGAACAAGTAAATGAATTTTAAACCAAAAAAAAAAATAATTAATTGTTTTGTTAATTTCAAAAAAAAACTAAAGATTTGTACAAGTTCCAAATGGCATGCACGTCGAGCAGCTGTGGAATTTGTACAATATATGGTTTTTTGTAATCTATTTAATGCTCGACCATATAAAAAACAAATACGTGAACTTATTTTAAAATGTTTATTTGATGAACAATTTGAAGTTCGTGCAGTTACATCAGTTACGTTATCAGGCTTATATCGATGTGGATATATTCAAGTTAATGAAGAAGATTTTGTGAATATATATGATTTTATATGAAAAATAATTCTTCATGAATTTGTTCATTTTGTTTTAGACACATTTTAGTCAAATGAGTAAAATAAATTATTTTATTAAAAAAAAAGGAAAAAAAATTGTATCAACAGAAAAGATTATTAAACGACATGGAGGTTAGTTAAAATAATTCAATTGAAATTAATCATAAAATTTATATTACTAGGTGTTCTTGGTCTTTCTGCAATTGTTCTTTCAAGTCCATATGATATTTCAGATTATGTACCTGATGCATTGATGCTTCTATGTGAACATTCACATGATCCCGATCTTATTCAAGTTAGTTAATTATTTATTTAAAAATGTTCATTATGTTGTTTTTTTTTTTAATTAGAAATCAGTTAAAAAAGGATTACTAGAATTTCATCGTACTCATCATGATTCATGGCATGAACATCGAGAAAAATTTACGGATGAACAACTTGCCATCTTGGCTGATGTGTTGATATCACCTAATTACTATGCATAAATGTTAATAAGATTTCTGAAATGTATTGTGTGAACCTGAGTGAAATTTTCCTTGATCATATGTATATATTCTTTGATAACCGTGTAACGATTTTTGCATATTCACTTCTGTTGTAATTTTATATTAACATAAGCAAATACAAATCACGATGTACATTTTATTTGAACAAAAACAGATAATTAGATTCATTGACATATAATTTTGTATATCGCGATCTGTTATAAAATAGCGACAATGCTAGTTACTACTTTGGGCATACCCAAAGAAATGGCGTAAGTATTTTAACTCTTTATACAAAAAAAAAACCAGAAATTTTCTCTTTCTACGATCTAATAGTACAAACAATGTTTGACATTTCGGTGATATTTAATCATTCTTCAACTCATATCGTAAGAATGAAATTTTGATAAGAAATGTTTATTATGATTTGTAACCGTAATAGTAGATCACATATTGTCTTCCATGTTCTCATGCTAAACCTTTCATACATATATTAGGATATAAAAAGAATAATGGCAGTAGAACAACAAAAGAAATATAGAAACAAGTGCATCAAGTTTTTACGTATAAGTAATTCTTGGGATTTGGCACCACATGATTTGTTGCTTATTCGACTTCATCAAACAAAATCTAAGAGACCAAAAGGTAGAAGTTCATGAATTCTATGAATAAATAAGAGTATAAAAAGACGTTTGATAAATAGACTCGACGATATGCAATTAAATGTAAATAATCAGAACGATTATTTCAAACATTTAATAGGATAAAAACTTGAGATGAACTTTTTTTCCATATTTCTTATTAACACTAGTTAAATAATACTAACGTCACTACAACTGGTGCTTTTTTAGATTTTTTCATCCAAAAAATTATTTTATTTTGATTTATATTACAAAAAAATTAAATAGAGAATTTTAGTTGTCTACATTATGAAATAAGTACATTATTATATTGAATATTGTTCAATATTCCACCAGCCATTGTTTTATTAACATTTGCTTTAAATGTATTTAGATCTGCTTTAAAGACTGTAGCAGCTTCATGATTCAATGGATCATCGGGATTTGGTTCCTGTAAGAAAAACATGATGTAACAAAAATATGTATTGAGACTAAAATGTTGCTAATAGCGATCCGATTTTTCTTTCAAGTGAATCCTCAAGACTTTTATTTAAAACTTTTTTCAGATAAATTTGATGGTTTTCAATAACATTTTCGAGAGCAAATGAAAAGTTGGATCAAATATGTTTACTAATTAATTGAGAACCTATCGATCAGGTTAGCATGAGATAGATTAGATGCTTGTCCGTAAAATACTATATGTATCTATGAAGAACAACATTTAGAGATCCGAAAAGTCATCGTTTTCTTTGTCCTTATTTTGTTTTCGAAAGATAGCGACAAACTAGAATGTAAATTATACTGAAAAATTTCTCCGGAATCAGATTTTTAAAACTCAAGTCTTATTAAAACACAAACTCTGGAGTAGGTCTCCAACTATCCAATAGATTCCTAGTAGAGTAATGCATAAACGAGAGAGGTAGATCGTTGCCTTAAACTAATATAAAAACATCATTTCACATTTGATAAAAATGGATCTCTATCAAGCTGATTTTCGTCTTGATAAAATTCTAACTTACCAAAAAAAGAAAAACCAATCCAAGAACAGCTGTTACTAGAGTTAATATAGGTTTCCAATCTTCTCTAAAGAAAAACAACAAAAATAGGAGAATATTTTCAAAAAAAGTTTTCTTACCTTAGAATGTTTAAACAAACACTTCCATTGAGATTAATATTTGGATGATAAATTGTTTGTGTACATTTTATTTTAGGTGGTTCATATGGATAATCAGGTGGAATTACAATTGAAAATATAAAGCGGCCACCTTTATAAAATCCCTAAATTATTAACAGTAAATCAAATCTTAACTAATTTTTTTAAAATATTTACATCATCAGGTGAAATTGTTACTGTAAAATGAGAAAAATCACTTATATCTGGTTGTGTCATTTCACATGTCGAAGGTAATGTTGCTAATTCAGAGAAATCTTAACGAAAAAAAAAAATTTTCAAATAAATTAGAAGAAAATAATCAATTGAATTACCTTTCATAATACGAAGACGACCAAAAGACTGTTTTTTTGTGTTGCTATTATTTGATCCATTCGCATCAAATGCTTGACTTTGTTGTGAAGGTAAATTAAGCATAACTGAAACAAATCAATAACGATTTTGTTCGATCTAATAATCAAATATTTTGCTTTGGATTGAGTTACACACCTGAAGTATTTGTCCGATCATTTTTATATGTAACTTGCTGATTGTGATGACGCATTATGATTATATATTTTTCATGATGTAATAGGAAAAGAATTCAGGGAAAAGGAAGAATTCAAAATACATCTGATTTTGAAATTACATGACTAATATTGAAACTCTAACGTAGCATAAATAAATAGGTAAAGCATTTTTTTCACTATAAATACTACTCTTAAAGAACCAATCAAAAGGAGTTCAACGCGACATCTTCTCGGATGATCATCAGTCTTTGCCACATATGCCATCTACTTACTATCTTCAATTTGAACAACATGAAAGAGATTTTTGATTAATTCATTTTCTTAAATTTATATTAATCATTTCAAGAAAGGAATATTTCAGTGCTGTCGTCTTCAGTCTTACTAAATTAATCAACGATCAACAAGCGACATTCAATTCTGAAATAAATACTGTTGTGTTTACCTGTTAGTAATTTATTTTTCACCGGTGGTTCAATATCAGAATTATGCACCGATGCATGTTTTTTTTATCTTATCGTGGTTTGATTTTCACACGTTTCGCGGCATTGGATACCTACATTGGTGAATAATTTTTAGCTGCTTGTGGTATTGTGGTTTACCGACACTTCATGATTTCCGTTTGGGACTGATACATGCTGTTTATCTGCTGCTGGTTTACTTTTCATAAATTTTGTAGCATTCACATTTTGCATTGGTTTTGACGTTGACGATAAATTTGCGAGTGGTGGTTTAACAAATATAATGGATGCATCTATTCTTTTAAATTGAATGATGTGTAATCCAAGGGCTGGTTTCAATTGACCAATGATCTCGAAGTAAAAGCCAATCATAAGAATGACTTCACGTGCATTATTTTGAAAATAAGAATGCGATTCAATTGAATTGCCATTTTTACATTCGATGAAGCGCAGCATTTATGTGCTATGCTTGACCCAACGAAGCATTCAAAGTCGATCATATTAGAGATCGACACGGGCCAGGTCACACCTTGGACTAGGTTGAATATAGTTAAAAATGATGGTGAGCTAAGGTTGAATGAGTCACGGATCGGGTCTCCAAAATTAGGTCTATGGAAAACTTCGAGCCGGGTCGGGTCGGCCTGACCACCGTAAAAAAGTCATAAAACATTCAATTTTTTCACCGTCATGCCTGTAATACCAAGTGTTCAATGATAGAACGCTCGTTCTCTATCACTGACTTCCTGTACTAGCGAACGTTGGAAATAACTAACAGTGAATGCTATATTGACTTTGTTTTCCGCGCAAGGAAATATCACTAAATACATTCAGAAATATTTTCTAGAATCTTTCTAGTAATTCTATGAGCAAAACATAGGATAAGATTAGTCATTCGACATTTATTTTAAAATTAGAAGTTCAGAACAAGTTGTTGTATTTTTTTAGGCTGAGGCTATCTTCACTTCATACCGTCTATCCACTTTAGTTCATTTTAATCGTTCTCGCATGATATTTTCTCTTCCAATTGAACAAAGTGATTATTATCTGCGAATCGAAAATGTATTCTTTCAAATTCTTTCCATTCTGGTCGAACTCTGAACTTTTCACAAATACAAATGCTTTCTTTCGTTGAACATTTTGACATTGGATATTGTACTTTTCAAAGCCTGAAAACTCTTTTCCAATTTACTCCTAGCCTTCGTTATCTAAGCACAACTATTGTAACGGCTGCTCACTCGAAAGTAATACAAATATCAACATTGAACGAAATGTCTTGTGCACTCAAATTGAACTTGACCATTGAATCTTTCAACGATCTAATTAATTTTTTTAAACAGTTACCCAGATTACAAAAGCTTCCTATTATTACACATATGAGCATGGAAGAACCGAGCAATAGTTCTTGATCTCAATTGATTAGTAATTATATACTTGCTCTGAACATATTCAAATGGGAATCATCTGTAACATTTGAAAATGTTGCTATTCGCCTTCAATCATTCGATTTTCCGAACCGATGGCATCTGAAAGAAAAAGCAGTTCCTATGGGATAGAATTATTCCCGAACTAAAATCTTAATGGTAAAGTACTGATTCTGAACGATCGGCTTTCAAACTATTCTTCTGTTACTAACACATTTGGAAACTAAAATATTAATATGAAATGAAAGTCATATGATCGATTACTTTTACTTATTCAAATGGATGTATATTATTCAAGCTTAAAATTAAGCCTAAAAATAAATATATAAATGGATACCAAGTGAAATATCATGCGACAATAACAAAGAAACTATTATAACTTGATACGATAAGTTTCATCAGTGGGAAACGAAATGATGCACAGTGGGTAACTAGGCGGATATGACAGAAAGCTGGCTTTGCCAAAGTTCAAATATTGAAATAAATATATCTTTGGTTAGTCTACCTGATCCTAAGATACGAGCTTCAGAAATCAAGCCAAATGCTGGAAACATCCATCGCAAAAAATGTGTTCGTAAATCAATAATTATACAGGTGTGGCCATGACTGTGATCACAATAGAAGCATTCTTACATCCACACCCACATCTCGTTCCCGAAAAAATCTTCATTCGCTTTCGTTTCCCAAGAAAAAGAATCTTGTTTTTCTTTTGCGATATTCACTTATGTATCATCGATCCAAATGTTCTAGTGTTGAAAGTTTCCAAGGAGATCTTCAACGTTTTCTATGAAATATATGCATAGCTTCTAAAGTCATCTGATGAGACTCGTAGCTAAGTCAAAACGTGTCGTGGTAGCTATTAGTCGTACCTAGCCTCTTGCACCCACACCAACAAGATGATCACTAATCTTCGGCAATATTTTATTCTACTCATCCGTACAGGCGCAGATAAAATGACAGAAAAGAAGGAGCTCTGACAATTTGTCTTTTTATGTTTAGAAGAAAAAGCTACGAATTATATGAACATGAGAATAATAAGAACGGTGTTAATTTAATGCTTAGTGTGATGGAAGATGGTGAATTTCAGGCATGTTATTGATTGAAATAGCCGTTAACAGAGAAAAAAAGGTATTTTAATGATCATTTTCCCGTTATTTAGTTGATGAGGTCTTGAATTCAAAGCTTTCTCGAACAGTCATAGCTCATCCTTGCTGAACAATGTCATAGGTGTCAGTTGAATGACTACTAACATCATTAAGAATAATCCTAAATACTTTTCTGCAATTAGAACGAATGTCATTGATAAATCGCTTGTTGTTGACATCATATCAGTAAATCCCAGAGATGTAGGCCTAGTCGAGTCAAATCTCTCATCAAGTCGAGTCCAGTCGAATCTTGATTTTTCTGACTCGTTTTGGTCTATGGTCTCCAAACATCACACAAGCAAGTAGATGTTACACTTTGACTTCGAATGAAGGTCAGCTTTTGATCGAAACAAGGAAATTCTCTTCCCATATTGTCACAATCGACACACGCTAATCCTTTAATTGCTTTCACTAACAAATCCCGTAGCCTATTTGGGGCATCATTTTCTCCGCAAAGCACAGCCATGAGTTTCTTTTTTGAAGAGATGCACTTCAAGAGCATCGATGACTAGCAGACATCCATTGCCACTGGGCAACTGCTCATGAGATACTGTAAGTACACTCAGGAAACCAACAACAGTCGCCAAATCCAACGACGGATCAAGAAAAGAAGTTAGTCTAACATTCACTACACCGATGAATATATATATATATATTTCTAATAGCAAAAGAACTACTTTACATCAGTCTATGCGATATAAAAGCAGATATTTTAATATAAAGATTATTATAAGTCTCATTGCAAGCAGTAGCGCTGACATGGCTGTCTGTCAGTAAACAAATGTAAGACACTAACTAGAATGTACATCGGAACGCTGCCCATTACTGAACCTAATTCAACAGTTAGGCCAAAGTAAAACATTGCACTTTCATGTAACCATTCCCTTCGAATACGATTACCAATGGCTATTCGAACATAAGCTACTATTAATATAGTGATGAACCAAGTAGTAGTCATGATTAAACCGCCGTGAAAAGTGTCCGCCCACCAAGGACATGGGCTTTGCCATGCAATTATCGCGATAAAAATGCACAAGGCCAAACCAAGTAAGGACCATAGAATGCTTGTTAATGTCGACACGGTCACCCAACGAATACTCAACAATGAAGCAACTGGATATGCCAATGGATTGAGAATGCTCGAGTAGTAAAACGCTTTTTGACCATAAGGCAGCATCGAATATGTGCTTAATGATGGCAAACATCCATATATAAACGCAGACATAAATGTATTCAATGCCAATAGAAAAAGGAATAATTTGCGACTTATTTGAGGAGAAGGAGGAGACGAACATATTTGCGATTTTGTGTTCAAAACCATTGCTATAGTCTCATCCTGATCGATAGCCACAGCCGATGCATTCGACTTAACTCTTTGCTAAAATTCGAATATCTGTCAGTTATATATTTTTTTGCTGCATATTTTGTTGTATCTCGCACAAAAAGTTTTAAAAAGTCGTTCGCTCAAAATTGAAGGATCAAAAAGCAACGTTTGCATGAGAGACTGATGAAATAATTCATGTATGTTTTCCGTCACCCTTCTTTTTTTCAACAAAAATCTGAAAGCGAGTTTCAAGAATAGCATCTAAGAATTTCTGAAAACACTTACCGGATTTGCAGCATCAGCCAATGAAACAAGATTTGACCATCTGAGCAAGGCAAAGGCAAAAAGTGATAATGTGAGAATACCTGCGATGCAAAACATGAAAACTCCAACGCTAAAACGCGGCTGAGTGTATATTGGCACAAGACCAGTACCATTAATGACAGGAGTACAAATTTCTTCGCTGCCCATACCTTGTGCTAGCACTAACAGAGTGGGAATCATGCCTGTCAGGCCTTCGCCGAGAAAAACAGCAGTTAGATAGGATGCACGAAATCGTTTCATATAATCAAAGAAGACCAGAGACGAGGTACAGTCAACCGTTGATAAAGTAAAAATGCCTCCTAGTAACCATACACTTCTCTGGTTGCCGAACACAAAAGCGGTTCGTTGCCAGAAGAATGCTAACATGCAACATGAAACAATGCCGACGATAATGATCGCATAGATGTATGGAATTTCCGAAAATCGTTTTCCTTGACACCAGCGCAATATCAAGACCAAAACTGGAGCAATGCTAGCTGCTGTCATACATATTGTTATTGCTGAAGGCAGTGTCCAGCCTTCTGGCATGAGTGGAATTATTAATGGTAATTCGACCATTATTCCTTGAATATCGATCCATGCACTCAAATTCATAATAACGATCAATACGAAACATGTTGTTTGAGCCCATCGAGAAGACATATCTAGATTAAATAAAATATTCAAGAAAACAGAATAGTTAAATCGGACGCCCTCTGCATAGCGAAACATAAGTCGATGGTTTTTTTCATGATCATAAATAAAACGTTACGATGCAAAAAATCTTAGAAAAAAAATTCATATCTCATTATTGAAGAACATTTTACCCAAAGGAATGTACGACCGAATTCTAGAACAAAAAAAATTTTTAAATGTAACAATTACATTCTGAAATCTGATCAACACTTTCTATGTTCGAAAAATTAGTATATATTAAATGCATATATTCTAGTTGATCTAAATTATTTCTTTCAAAGGACTTACTTCTTTTTTGAAAGAAAAAAAAAGAAAGTATGTGTTATTCAAGCACTAAATATAACTAGGCTTTGGCTCTACGGTGTCTCTCTTTTGAGTTTCTTGTTATGTGTATGAGTAGCAGTCCTTCATGATCGCGTATCTATTACAGCATGTGGCTTCTATTTTCCTCGTATCAATGTACACGTGTAGTTTTGAAATCGTGTATTAGATTGTTTTATCATGTGCAAATATGCTGCACTAGTCAGGTGTGTTGACTTGCTCTAATAAAAAAAAAATAACGAGTATTTCGATCGCATAAAACACGTCTTTCACAGAACACATACTACATTTCTTAGAGAAATGAAAAACCTTCACCGAAAAAAGTAGCCATTGATTGAAAGCAAGGACGAACGTATATTTGTACTTTTACTTGAAGTACCAAAAAATCGTACTTTTTCAAGTTCTTTAATCATTTCGACTATCGTGTCTTGCACAAAATTTGAAATTGGTAAGTATGATTGTAGAATACAATGAGACAGAAGAAGAAAAAGGCTTACACCATTTGGCAAAGGCAGAAAAGTAAAAGCCATCAAATTTCTCCTTCCCTGTAAGTTAGCATCGACAACGACATATAATGAAAAGAAAGAGTAAAAATGTAGAAAATCGTAATCAAAGAATCAAAATAGAACAAATAGGAATGCAGATATCTTGCAACTGACAAATTTTTAACAATCGGAAGTGACTGAAATTGAAAACAGGAGTCAACATATCAATTCATAAAAAGTAGAATTGAATTAGTAAGTAATCTAATGTCAAAAAACAATTTGAACCGATTCCGACACTTCATGGATGCTGATGAAGTTTGAATGGAGAATACGCGCTTGATAATTTTCTTTAACCCTCATCCGCCCACCTGTAGAGCTACCACTTATTGCCCACCTGGGGTCCGCATAGACCCCAAGCCGATAAGATAGATACAACAGACGCTGTAAATAGTATACTATGATAGCACTATGTGGCATATGTTTTGCGTGTTACACGATTATTATCTTGTAAAAAAGAAACTATATTTAGGTATTTTATATTTTATTTCTAAAACCTTTTCTTATAAATTCTTTTTATCCTAAAAATGTTTCGCTACACACAGTGCAAATAACTTTATGATGATCAGGACAACAGGGAATATTACAACTTGAACAATGAGTAACGACTTTCCGATCGCGCTCTCGCGGACAAAGATGACAACGCTGCTTGGCAGTGTCTGTTGAAACTGTATTCGGTTGTGAAGTAGCAACAAGTAACGTGAATCGAAAATCGATTCACTGGACCCTAGACTGGCACAATTCACCCATGCAAACGCATGAGCAGCGGACAATGGCGACTATTTTTTTGAGAGATCCTGAAATTTCGAAGGGATGGCCGCATAAGTTCAAGACAGACGAGGAAGGCACATAGAGATTATGTAAAAGTGGGGTACGGACTAGACGAAAATGAAAAAATGACAAGAACAGTAAGTAAAAAACGCATCCGTAGTCAACGCGAAAAACAGGTGTGAAGTAGTGCCCAAACCACGATTTTCGCTCAGGGAAAGCTCTCAGCTTCGTCGCAAATAGAATACGCTCTTGACAAATTCCTGCAGAGAGGCAAGCAGTTGAGTACCACCTGGCTATTGGACCACGCGGTTCCGTAATTTAGCGATGGAGGGATAGAAGCGCCTTATTGGAACTTCGCCTGCCCCATTTACTTGCTCCGTCATTATACACAGCTGCTCCGCGTACCACTTCAGTGGATGCAGCCATACTATGTGCCACAGAAATGGTCATTTGTGCCATAAAAATGGTCATTTGTCCCATGCTTGTTACAGACAGACAGACGGACAGACAGACACAGGTGAATTACGGTTTCTAGACCCTATCTTTTCAGTCTAGGGAACAGTTAGTCCAATTGCTTGCATAGCTATTCGAATGCCTTTTTGAAGTGCTTGTGGCTGATGTTGTCGTCGCGTTCCAAATGAGATTGAATGAGATCATAACCTAATTCCATTAGAAATATACGTCGACGATAGCATTTCTTCTCATTCCATTGAGGATTTTTAGTTACCCAAACGATCAAAGCAGCAAGAGCACCAACATCAATTATGTTGAAGAAGAAAGTCACTGGTCATCGTTTTGTTTTTCGTTCACATGAATATATCTGAACCATCTGGTCCATTCGATCGACACCCCCTTTTGTATTGTTGTAATATAAAAGAATTTCTGGTTTTTTCTTTTTCTCATCGACAATTGCTTGATCATGGTGAAGAGATGATAACAAAATCACAGCATGTGCTTTCTTAGGTACATAGCTAACTAACGTTAGCTGACGATCAAAACAAAATATCGATGATTGTTCAGGACGATGAGTATCAGGCTGCAGCTCTCGTGGAATTTCCTTCTTATTTCGTCAAATAGTTCCAACTAAAGTTGTTTGAACACCTAGAAGATCTTCCGCCAACTCTGCGCTAGTATAATAGTTATCCGTGATAATTTTCGGTCCTGTATTGATCCAAGGATGCACCAACTGTTTCACTAAGTTACGAATTCGATCTTTATCTTTAGCTGCAGTTGGTGCTCCAGGCTGACGTCCCAAATAAACTTCAGCATTCAATGGATATGCTGTATCTGAGTCACAACACTAGAAGATCTTCATCCCATACTTTCCAGGTTTACTAGATATATATTGACGAAAATTGCATAGACCACGAGTTGGTATTAGCTGTTCGTCGACGGTGAGTGATCCACCAGGCGTGTAGCATATTTGTAGGCGAGCTAAAAACATTGTCCATAAATCTCTTATTGCTGCCAGTTTATCCACCTTCAATCTTTCCTCTCTTGTTGTTGTATTGTCAAATCGGCAAAATTGCAGCAAGCTTTTGAAACGGTTCTTGGTCATAGTTGCTCGAAATATTGGTCGTCCATTGATCATTGACCACAGTTCATCCAGAGTTTCATTCTTTGCTCGATGAACACCTGCGAGGAGCAATAGACCAATGAAAGCCCACATTTCTTCAAGGTCTGTGTCCCTCCATTGACTTTTTTCAACAGAGTTTTCTTCACTCCATCGTTCCAAGAATAGATGTGCTCGTCGGTTGGTTTCTTTGACCAAAAGAAGAATCATTTCCTGAATGATCAGAAGTTGAAATGCTTCTTTCAGAGTTTGTATATCTGCTGCTGGTCGACCAACACCAGTTCGCTGTCGCAAGATATTAGCAATTGGAACTTTTTTCTTGGGAGGTTCTTTCGATGTCCATTGTCGACCAGAGTTTGAAGAAAATATTTTAACCGGTATTGGTTTAACTTGTGGTTTACGTTTTGCTCGATGTCTAGGTGGTTCCTCGTCACTCATACTTTCGGTATCAACACTATTTTCATCGGATTCATCACCTGAATCATTTTCGACCATACCATCATCTAATTCATCAGAAGTATCCTGAAGAGTAGAAGGTATTTCCACATCTTCAGAATCATGATTTACATTAGTATCTTCGTCGCTGGACTTGTCATCGAAATGTTCCAAGTCCTTGAGTCAATATTTAGATTGATTGAAGTTAGAGCGTTTTCTTTTACCCATATGTGCTTTGATAATAGTCGTTAGCGATGCAAAATATAGTGATTTTATTGCTTCGAGCAAGAGGTATATATATGTTTTTGCGAAGAATAAGAAAGAATTCCATAGAGCATAATAGAAAAAAAAGAAATTACGAGAAGATTCAAAAGAGAGTACATGCCATCTATGTAGAAAGAACGAGAAAGAAAATAGATGTACTTGAACATACTAGAGAAATGATATATGCAACCACGTATGATGGTAGAACGAAATAAAATATACATGGAACATATATATATATCGTGACGTCATGGCAATAGCAGAAAGAAAGAAAAGATGTGTATATAAAATTACTATGCAAAAGTACTTTCGATGAAATAGACAACTTTCTATATGTGAGACAAAATTATCTGAAAACTAACAGAAAACCTGTAGGAGTACTCAAATATACAGAATACAACGTTCTAAAGCCATTAACATGCTTTTCAATTTATTTGACAGCTCTGGCATACCCTCACAAGAGCGAGAAAATGATATACAATGTGAAAATAAAAAGTCATAATCAAATAAAAAGCAAAAACCAATGTTATACTATGGAGTCCGGATGGACCCCAGGTGGGCAACAAGAGTATATTTGTACTTTGGGATAATTTATGTCATAGATAATCAATGATGATAAGCGGATGCTGTCAATGATATACTCTACTAGTCTTCACTAGAGCATATCTAGAGAGGTGTTTTATGATCTACGATTATGGGTGTAAAACATTAGAAGGAAACCAGTTGGGGTCCGCGCGGAGCCCAGGTGGGCGTTTCAGGGTTAATGGAACAGTGCCCAATGACACAATATTAATTAGTTTTGAACTTAAATTTCATCAGGAAAAATCTTCTGGTGAATTGAGATTTGAAACGGTAGATCATTTAAAATATATTATTCAACAAAAATAATCGATCTCATGTACATATCTGTATTTTCAATAGTATAATTTTTTGACCTATGAGAAATGGTGAGATTATAGTTGGGTGTGGGTGGGTGAGGAGTGAAGTTTGCTTTCAAATCAACTCGAATCCACACCCATATCCTTGACAATATCTCTGTATTTACATTGTAATACAGAAAATATTGTGATCTATGCATTGTTTGTATTTTTTAGAATTCATGCTGGAAAAGATCAAGATTTTTTGCATTTCTATATTTACCAAATACCTTACCAAATGGTATTCGACAATTGGTCATTTCGACGTAATTATTTCTAAAACTACTATAGATAAAATTAAAATGAATAATTTTATAATATAACTTGTATAATTCGTAGTACGCATATATTTATTCGTTCCACGTCTTAATATCATCTATTTATTAATTTATAATTTTTTAATAAATGATATCATTTTATTTTAAACGAAAATATTTCATCAAAAAATCAGAGAAATTAAAAGCAGATTAATTATTTTAAACATGCTTTAATCTTAGCTTGAAAAATAAATATTTAGGATAGAGACGTAGGTGTAGATAAAGATGAAGACTGGAAGTACATTCACACACGCATATCCTTTTTTGTTAAAGATAATAAAATTTTCTTTTTTGCTTCTGAGGTGTTATTCTAAAATACAATGAATGAGAAGTAGAGAGCTTTAAATGTAAGCTAAGCCGTTGTTCCTCTTAGAGTTGAGCCTGTGTTAGAATAATCTCTATTTTGTTATTGCACTCTGTCACATGTCTTCTTAGTGTCTCACCAAGTAGATTTTCTATTTCTGATAGGCAGAAGCAGTCTAGAACTTGGCTAGTCCACTATGTTCACAGGGCTCTTCCGACCGTTCTGTACGAAAAACCTGCGGTCATAATCTACTAGTTAATCGTGGTTCACTTTGCGTGCGTTCTTTTAGATTCACAGAGAGCTTGAGAAAGATTGTCTGTGATCGAACGCGCATGCGAATATGTGTGATAGTTTGATGTCCATTCATATCCATGCCAGTGGTTATCATTACTTTTATTCGGATGGCTTGCTCTCACTTTTAGTTTTCATGTTGCATAATGGTTGGAGATATAGTCTTTTTTTATGGGGACAAGCAAAAGCACATGCGATGTCTTCTATATTCGGCTTCCCACTGGCCATCTATATGAAATACTTGGTTTCATAGATTGGCAAAATATACTTGTTTTCTGGAACTGATGTATATTTTCGAAGAAAATAATAGTGAGTGTAAGTTTAAATCAAGGCTTTTATGGTTCCTCTCTTGCTTAGGAACAGTAGCCAGACCGCGTTTCACATTTTAATCCAATAGGGATTACACTAGCAGCTTTTTGATAAAGAGGAAAGATTTTATTTCGAGTTTTAATCAATAAAGCGGTGATAGTTTTTATCTAGAAGAGTAACAATAGGACGAAACTTAAAAAATATGAACTAATGGGATTCTAATTTTAGCTAAAGCTCAACAGTATATCCCAAAATTAGTCGAGAGAGAGGATAGTATGCGTGGTTGCTGAATAGAAGTTATGTATTGAAGAGATGCACATGACAATACAAATAACTTTTTTCAACACTATGATGTTAAATGAGTTATAAATTCATAGAAAAGTAATTATAAATATGAACAATTTCAATAAAAAAAAGTCAGAGAGCGCTGATCAACTATAAAAATTGTTATCATTCTGATTTACCCATTTATTTGACATATATTTAATAGCTTATTTTAAAACCTCTGACAATATGTCATAAATTGATAACAGTCAGAGTTTGTGAGTTCCACACTTTGATTCTTCGAGAAGTCGCACAGAGAAGCTTTTTTTAAATAGTGTTTATTTTCGGGTTTCCAGTTGCACTTCTCAGATATTCACATCGTTCGAGAGTCGCCCATTATCATTTGAAATGAATTGCAAATATTGAATTGAACATACACTTATCAATCATTATTTACCACTCATATGCATTTGGGACAGTTCTGAACAACTGTATTATTCACTGATAATATCTACACTATTTCGTTTTCATGTACAGAAAACTAACAGTGTGTTCTCAATTTATTAAAAGCAAATGCAACAGAGCTATACAAATCAACCAAACTCAATTCATTTGATAAAATTCCAAATTAATATCTTCAACAGAGTTTCCTTCAATGCATATATCTTGCCAATTCTTCAGGTTGTGTGTGTGTGTGTTTCAAAGGACGAAGGCGGATTTGCAGACCTTTCTCAGGACATATTTTTTTCTACCAAGTTCGTATAAATGATAGTCTCTGATCAGTTTTTTTTCAAAATTATTCCCGAAAAATTGAATTGATGATTCTTTTAGAATGGAGTCCTCACATATATAACTAAAAGCAGCTTCGTTGGTTTCTTTACTTAAAAGATTGGCAACATGAGTGTGTACCTTATCGTCAGCATGGTTGTAGTTGTGTTGGTCTTCTGTTAAACGACACTCACACATTAATATCATCTAATAATTAAGTTAATATTATATTCATTTTAATATATATAAATTCCTTGATGTTATGTAAATTGATCATGTTGTTTTTCATCTTAAGTTGTGTTTCAACCTAAATCAAACTTACTATTTCGTCAAAACGTGTTAAAATATTAAAAAAAACATGAATTAAAAAATAAACAAAAGGAAAAGGATGTTTTTATTTGCGTGCGCTCTGTTTGCAAAATAAGAAAGCGAGAAATTCAGAATTATCATTGCGACGCTAACACGACTGATAATATCGACGTAGATAAGAATCACATTGACTCATATCACTTATATATACAGTTCCTGAAAGAAAAACTTGTTGAATTATAGAAATTGATGATGAAGTACAAAAATAATAATTTTATTTCGCCGCTGCAAGCATTATATCGATACATATATACTCTATTGGTACTATTCGAAATTTGAAAGGTATTTTAAAAGAATGTCAACGTAATTTTTCTTGCGTTGTTGCTGCATATTTTTTTCTACGATAACCGAAGAACGAAACGGAGCAAAAGAATTAGATATCTTATCAGCACCATGTCGTGCATAAGGTTTGTGTATGTTTGACGTCTTATTTTGCTTTTTTATTGCAATGCTACATTTCGTAGTATTCGTGTTTCGGTTGAGTCTGGTTATACCGATAATTATATAGACATAAAATAACACATCTGTTGAAGAAAACTTCGAGCATACTATCAGTCTGTAAAAGAAAAGTTTGTTTTTGGAGCATCTTCAGAGCAATACACCATAGCAAAAGTCATATTATTGTAGATGACTTCCCATTCACCTCTTTACATTCCTCCGCATCGTCGAAACGCCATATCGTCGTCAATGTGTGCTTCGTCGTTCAATGCTATACCACTCATCGACGAAGTCGATCTCGCAAGACTCGATTTCTTTCATAGACATCTCTACAGTACTTCTGTCGTGCTAAGACGCCTTGAACACATTAAGAATACATATAGAGAGGATCCGAAGACTGAAGCACATTTTATTAAATGCAAAATTGATAATGGTAGGATGTCTCCAAAATTTTATCGCAATACTTTTACAATGGCTATGAAGGAAATCGACTCTAGTAAAAATATGCGCCTCATGAGCGGGAATCGGGTCAAGTGCTTCCTCGATTTGGGTTGTGCACCAGGTGGCTTCTCACGATGGATTATCGAGAATAATCCCTCTTGTATGGGTCTGGGTATCACTCTACCCCCAGGTCTGGGCGGATTTCATATGGAGTTTGATGCGCCAGAAAGATATGCATATGTATATCAAGACGTAACCCAGAATCCTGAGCATATGTGGTGCCAAAACAGTGTTCATAAAGGAATCGAACCTCAGTTTGATCTATGCATCGCCGGGTGCATATTCAGATGTCCAGAAATGAATGGAAGTAGTGATGATGATCAGCCTGTTCGCTCACGCAGCCGCCAAGCTTTACGTTACTCTCAATTATTGACAGCCCTTACTAACCTTCAAAAGGGTGGTACTCTCATTTTGGTTTTCAATATACGACCACATTTCTCCCAAATTGAAATCGTCTGCTCACTTGCTTGTTGCTTCGAATGTTTGCTTCCAGTCAAGCCTAAGAGTGTCCATGCTACACGCAGCTCATACTATCTTATCGGAGTGAACTACAACCCAGAGAAAGTCCAAGAGTTGAACCTCTTAGGGCGTCTTCGAACTGCTTTGAGTTTAATAAAAAATGCGGATTCTAGTTGGTGCTATCAAAATTCTTCGATTATGGAGGGATCACCCGATCAAATCTTGGCTGAATGGGCACCTTTTATATTGGACCACTATCAGCCTATGTGGGAATCACAAGCGAATGCTATTGAAAAACATTTATTTCGTGACGCTAAAAAAGTGAAAAAAAAGTATGAATGGCCGTCGTGCAATCGTGGAAAAGATGTAGAGCAACATTTGCCTAGGCAAAAGCCGATTGACAAGAAATGGCGTTGATCATGCTTACCCTGCTATATTTCGTTGTTTGTGATTTTTGCTTGAATTCTATACACATAATTTGTCTCACCAGAGATATTTGCAACTTAGTTTTCTACACTCAGTTAAAGAAATCGTTCAAGAATAAACCCTTCAGATTTATAATATCTTTCACGAATGTAAAATAGTTGAAGATATCAATTGTATCTATTCAAGTTCTCAATCGAAAAAACGATGAATATATAGTTTTATAGTGTAAAAATGTCATCCAAAGAAAAGCAAACAGAACAAGAACTGCTTTTAGTGATCAGAGCGTGCAACATGACCATACAATTCACCCTATTGATGTCACACCTCACCTTCACTCACCAAAATCAGATGAAAGTATCTCGGAAAGTATAGGTGTCGTGTGTCTTGGCCTTCTCGTCATAGTTCACAGCTACACCCGCCGTAGTGGAATGCAGAGTCAAGGTTTTTGACTTCGACTCCGAGAATTGTTTTAGATGGTTCATCGATGTCTTAATCTTTTTAGAATTTTGAATTTTGAAGAGATCAATAAGTAAACGAATCAGTCAAAAGAGAATAACTTTTATTAGTAGCGAATTTACGTTGTGTCAGATAATTTTTCAGAAATGACAGAAAGATAATGACTTAAAAGATTTTGGCAAGAAACGAAAATTGATTCCGAAAAAAATTCTTCTCAATCAATCGACTTCCATTCCGAAAAATATTCTTGTCGCAGAAGTTGTGCAACGGTCTATGTCTCCAAATAAGGAAAATAAACAGGACATTGTAAGACTTATTATGATACTGTTGTCCAGCATGAAATCTGTACACAAGTAAA